TAAATTATCCATCATCTCAGACAAACCGGTTCTGCGTTTCAAACTCACTCTTTTGCCACGCAGAGAGAAAGAACAAATTATTTCACGGGAAATATATGTGCTGCCGAATTCTTCTCTATTTTCTGGAATTTCACGAACGTCCCTCGGGCGCCGAATTTTCACTCCACACCGTTAATTTTCACCACGTGCGGGTTTCTGTGAAAAAAATCACGCTTCCTTCGCCGACACACTCACAAAAATCCATATTTGTGAAAACAATTTTCGTTAGTCGGCCGAAAATAAATATTAGAGAGGAGAAAAACGGCTGTGGGAAATTTCTCGGCTCGTGCACGTGCGAGATCGAGGCGTCCATAAATTAAATGGAGACACACCCCCGCCTGATAAAGTTTAATCGGCCGCCACATTCTGTTATGTCTGTAATGAATTGAACCTTACACAATAGTACATAATTGAAACAATGAAGTCGTTAATCTTTAACTTGAGACATGAGTAGATCACTAGATTCCTAATTTCAAATTTACAAAAAAGAAGCTGTGTAATTATTTTGAAAATATTTTTCCGTTTGGTTCCTATACACATGGTTTAAAATATTAAAAAAAAAAATCCTTCTTTTCATTAAACATCCAGTTTTTCTCTTCAACAGCTTCAAGATTTTCAAATTTTTTAAACAAAAATTAATTAAACAATAAAAATAATTTTGCTTTAAACAAACATATTTTATAAAAAAAATTATATTATAAATTAAGAGTAAAAAATTGACTAAAAAAATAAAATAATAAATAAATAATATACTGTTTTAAAATAAAAAGTTCCAGTGTTTACCAGATTCTTTGTTAATTAAGCACATCGTTCATTCTGTTCTAATTTTTTAAGATAATTGTTAAACTTAATTGTCAAATCAATATGACAGTGCTCGAGTCTTGCCTTTCAAATTTAAGTACCGGAATCAGGCCTGAACGGATTTAATGCTGCCTCTGGCTTTCTTCTGCTTCTCAACCAATAATTAGCCAGCACAGAAACTTGAATTACGCCGTAACCGTCCTTGCACACTTGAAATTCACACGCTGAATTTGCATCCAATTTCAATTTGGCTCCTCGCTCATCATTGCCGAGGCAGGCTCCTGTATGTAATTATCGGTGCCTCAATATATTTATCGTCGCGGGAAAATATCTCGTTGAAACAAAGGCGCACACATAACGGAAGGATCCTTGAAAAACAAAGTGAGATCGAAACGGTGCGATCTTTAGCTTCTGATATTAAGAAAAATTTTGTGCACCTCGACCTCAAGTAACCAGATAGAGCGAGATGCAGTTTGAAAAGTGCCCTGCTGTGCGAGAGATGCAACAGGTGCATGAGAGAAAATGAGATGCAGCTTGTTGAAATCAATCACGAACTCATCATTGCTGGTGATGATTTATAATACAAGTTTTAATAGTTCGTTAAAATTTTAATAAACAAATAATAAAAAATATTTATGAATGCATAAATGTAATTTAGTTAAAATGTTAATTCATTTATTATTTATACAAACAATTTTAAGCATTTATTGAGCTTTATTCAATTTAAAATTTTAAAAAAATATTTTTGAACATATTTTTTCTGCTAAACTTTTTGCTCTTTTACTTTATACAAAATATTTAATATATTACATCATTGCTTTGCATGGTGTGATTCAAATTGGGTTAAAATTAATTACTTTGCATTGCCTCTGCGGTTTTCTTTAGGATTGAAATTAAACATTAATGACATCAAGAATGCATTGAATGATATTATTTTTTTTAAATATACAATCCAAAATGCAAAGAAAAAATATAAATGCTAGTTGTAAATTAATAAACATAAAGAGTTGATATGATTAATTGAATTTTAAATGTGTTTTAAAAATGAAAAGAAAAACTCAAATTGATGAAAAAATTTTAACCTTGTAGACTTTGACTAAGCAGACGATATTAATTGATCACATTTTCCTCTCGTGAGTCACAGAGATTCACCTAACAATTTTTTGAGATGCAATTTGCGCCTCTGCGGTTTGGTCCAGAAATAATTCCTTACCAATCATGTGCTGAACGCGATTGCTTCACAAATATACAGTTTCCGGCGAACAAGGTGTAATAAAAAAATTAGCAGCGCACTAACGGTGGTTGCCTAACTCCTGGCAGTGGTTTTATTGGCAAAAAAGAATCAAAAAATACTAAATGCCGCCGCCCTCGAGGGATGAATTTCGGCGGCGTGATGACTGGCGGCAACTTAAAAGTTCTAAAAACAATGGATGACAATTTACAAATGGCTTCAGGGGAGTTGTCATCCAGCAGGAAGAACACGGTGCAATTACACTCATGCACTCGAGTCGCAGGTGTGTACGGAGTTGTTACAAGTTGACCTAGAACGGCCCCTGAAAAATTCAAATTTATGCACGTTGAGATCAAAATAAAGTATATAAGAGAAAGAGTGAGCAGGAGATTGGATTATTTTCCCAAGAGGCTTCTTATCTCCGCCGCCGAAAATTTTCAATTCCTTTACTTTTTTCCCGCAAATGCTGGTTGCATTGTCTTGTTTCATTCATGAAATATGCATTTACCCGAGAAACACTTAGAAAACGCGCGGCGTGAGAGAAACATTTATTTTTATTTTCGAAAACGCCTGGGAAAAGTTCTTCTAACCTAGTGACTGATATATTATTAAAATCGCTCGGACATTTTCATTTCCTCTATAAATCCAACTTTCCACTATGTATACACATGTTTTCAAATCAAAGCGAGAGATAGGAACATTTTTAGTGCCCCCGAGTGCATCTCCAGCCGCGTGATTTATGTGCACTTTGGAAATTGAGAAAGGCCGGATCTGGAATAATGAACGGCGGCGGCGGCAAGTGGATGCTCAATGGTGTCAGGACGTACGCTACATTCGAACTATATATTACGCACCAGTTTAGCAGGCTGGACCTTTTCTCTTCTCGCCAGCCGACGACGACGACGACGACATGAGAACTGGTCTGGCGCGCGTGGAGAGAGATGATCAAGAGAAAACAGACGTGCTTTACATTTCAATCGATCCAATAAGCAAATGTATGGGCAAAGAGAGAAAGAATGGGTATATAACACTCACCAGAAGATGAGAGAGATTCGACCGCGATCTCCGCGTCGTTTCCTTCTTTTATATAAAGTCCGGAGAGTCGTGTACCATTCAAAGACCGCCGCCACCACTGCCAATTAATTCACAAAATAAATTGAATTGAAAAGTTCTTCAGAAGTTTAACGTGCGATTCTTTCTAATGCGCTGAGAAAAAAAATCAATTTACATTGTCAAAATTTCTATAGAAATTTAAGTAAATATCTGCCACTGCAGGTCTCTTCAATTTAGTTAATTTGGTTTATTAATTTTAAATTATATAAGATTACAATCATACAAGTTTAGAAAAACATTCAATGGACGTATTGAAATTTCTTCTGCGTGAAGACGGTTTCGTCAGTACCTATTCTAAATATATTAGAGATTTAATAAAAAAAATGTATATTTATAAAAGATTAAATTATATTTTATAATTAATAAAACTATTTTACGCTATTTTATATGATACAGAAAAAACAAAAAAGCAATTAAATACGTGTTTATATGATATAAAAAATATTTTTTGCTTATTTTTGCTAAAATAATTTCTCGCGAAAGTCATGCAATCTGTTGCAAAAATTTAACAAAAAAGAGCGCTGATTGGACTGGCGGAAGAGACTTTATTGCTGAATAATGGTTTCTTATAGACGCTCTCTTTTCTCTGCCAGTTTTATTATTTTTTTTTCTGGCCAAACGCGCTTCTCTCCACCGGCAGAAGGGGTTTCGGGATACAATTACAATTTGAGCTAACGGTACCTTGCAAGGACAGGAAATTTAATAAATCGGGTTTGAATACGCAGCATATGCAAGGCAGCTGTGTGCCTTTCCCTGCGCGGCCACACGAGACGAAAATCCCTCAGGTGTGTCGTCTCTCTCAGGGTGCATCAAATTCTCGCGAGCTTTCTTTCTTTCTCCGGTTAGTATGTAATGTGAAACCTTGACTGTAAAAAATTCTCTCGTAAAAATCAACAGGAAGAAAATATAAAAATTAAGTCCAAATATTTGAGGTGAAATTAAAAGGAGCCCGACGAACGCATTAGGGACGCTTGCTTTTCATCCCCTCCCTCGGGGGCGATGTTTCGGATAATAACACACAGGGCTGTAATTTGTTCTCGCCCCTCGGATGCTTTCAGCCTTTTTGATGTGGCGCGACCATCAATTTTCGGCGTAATCATTTTTCAACTCATTATAAAGCAGCCTAAAGTGATCACCTTTATACAAAACCGTGAATATAAATAAAATATGGCCCTCCCCTCCGGGGGTGGTTATGCGACCGCGTGCGTGTCAGCCGGCCCAGGGATGAAATGATGGATCTGCCGAGGAGAGAAAAAACTCAAAAAGGCAAAAGAGTTAGTTGTACTGGCATTCCTTTGATGTATAAAAAAAGGGATTTCGTATACAATATTTCATTCCATTCACATTTTATTGCCTTTTCAGCATTAAATTTATAAATTTTACTTTAACGAAGAGATAAGCCTGCATCTTTTGCTCATTAGCCCAGGGATAAATCAAAATGTGTCCTTGGTGGTTGAATAAATCAACAAAGACATTCCATATAAAAAGAAACGAGGTCTCGGTGCTTTTTTTTCACACGGAAACTAGCAGCGACAAAATCGAAAGGCATTCTTGCAGCAGGTGCAAAAGGGGTGCGCATTTTAATTTGATACCCTGGTGAGGCGAGAGAGTTAACGGTACCTGCCTGCGCGCGGCCGGCAGGTGTGACGTCACTGCTTTTTGAAGCCTCGCTCGGACTTGGTTAATTTGGTTCCTTCCTTTTTATTTAGCGGCATTTATTATGAAAGCGGCGCGGCTCTTGTTTTCTTACGGCCGTATAGCGAGCGAGCGTGTGTGTGTGATGAGGATGCAAAGGTAGAAAAGTGGGAGGAGGAGCCAGGTAAAAAGTCGGTCAACTGAGGTAGAGGGAAGAAGGTAATGGTGACGGGCAGGTGGGTTTGTTAGTTGCGTGCCGACTGCCTCGCGGATCTGTCTTATGGTGGTGAATCAAGCGGTGCAGTGATTTTCGTACTTAGGATTACAGTGCTCGCTGACTTGTAAGTTAGTGCCGACGACAGAGTGTGTCCCAAAATTGTGCTGTGTGCCGGCCCAGTGCAGCCAGTTTGTGAAGCAGTCAGATTTTTCGTTCGATTTTCGCATGTATAAAACAATTGACTCTTGGGGAAACTTTCTTCTTTCCTTTATTTATACCAAACAAAATTTTTTATTTAGAAAATTTCATAACATTTTAAAGCTTTTTAATATGTTCTGAATTCTAAAATTATTATTTTATAAATATGCTCACAACACAACTTTTCAATTAAGTTTTTGATCTGTGGTGGAACACTGGTTTTGCTTCTGAGATTTGCATTAATTTGGCGGATTTAACTGTGTACAGCCGGTTTATCAAGTTCTTCATTTCATTTGTGCACGCGGGGATCAATTAGAGCATGATTTTTCTCTTCAGTTGTAAATCTTAACTTGCCGTACGTTTTGAAAAAATCTCTAGTTAATATTTTTTTCTCCGTGACGAAAACAAGAATCCATTTCCTCTTTCTCTCAACGACGACGAAAGCACGTACACGTGATAATTGTGTTTATTAATTAGCAAGTACACGGCGACAAAAAGTAACTGAAAGAAAGTCGCCCTCGATACTCGTCGTCGACAAACAAATGCGACCACAAATTACATACAAACACACGCACAATTTGAACATACTAACACAGAGTACCGTATACTTTTCTCTGATGATCTCTCGCGGAAGAAAGAAAGAAAGAAACGACCAATTACCCACTACGAGTTACGCGAACTATTTCTGTTTTTTGCCATAATCGATGGAGACGTAAAAGGAAAATAAGAATGTTGATGGAAATAATCTCGAACACACAGAAAACAACTAAATCCTTCCCATTTATTCTTTATATTTGCGCCTCTCTTCTTTCCTCTGTACCTTTTTCTAACGGTGTGACTTTTCTGCTTTCAGATCAGCTGCCAAAAAGTTTAGATAGGATCCCACAAAATTTAAGCTATGAAGAGGTGTAAATTGTTCGTGGCCACGTGCCTGCTAGGAGTGCTGTTAATCAAGGTAAGAAATCTTTTTAATATTAAATTAGTTTCGATTCACTGCTGATTTAGCTGCAGTTTGAGACGAGTTCATCTGTTACACTTTCCACTGGTTAAATATAATTCAGAACTTTTGATATTTGTGACTCGGAATTCCCTGCTCTACATCTCAATTAGTCGCACTTGTCCGCCGCCGGCAACGTCCTTTCTTTGTCACTCTCTCCCCCGCCGTCTCTCTTGTCCCGCTAAATTAACCTTGATAATTAAAATAAGTTTTTGGAGAAAGAATAGTTTGTTCGGGTGTTGAAGAAAGAAAGCAAGCGTGGCGCCAAAAAGTAGAACGATAATTAAAAATGTTTTGTTCGGTGCGGCGGCAGCGGCGCGTAATTAGAAATTGTTTCAAGCGCGACTGACTCTGCAGCACAATTACCGCCTTCTGCATTTGTCACACTTTTTGATTCACTTTCCAACGGGAGTGCGGCGAATTAAAACCCCCGCATTATTTCTCGTTTGCTAATGGTGGATGCAGCGATCATCCAACACAACTTTTTAAGACGTACGAAAATAAGGATGCGCCCGAGGGCGCCCGTTCTTTCTTTGGCATTTCTCCGCGCCCGCATGACTCGAGTGACCCACTCTCGAAGCGCCCGGCCACTTAGACTGTCCCGCAGAGCACCGCCGCACGTCGATATTTGCGCTAAATTGTGTTTGCACTGACATCGATCGTGCTGGCTCCATTGTTGGCGAGCCGACTTTCATTGGTCTCGTGCTGGGCGTGAATTAAGCAGCAATGAATTCCATTCAATTGAATCGGAAATTGGCAACTTTACAACAAATCGCAGTGAAACCGAAACCAAATTGAATGAATAGGATAAAATTTACGAAAAATAATATATAATTATGTTTTTTCGTATTTAATAAACGTTTCTTAATAATTTTTATAAGTTTAATGGAATAGCTCTTTTGTTTTCTTTAATTATTTTTAAAGTTACAATAATTGCATTAAAAATAGCAAGTACGTTGTTTTTTTCCAAACATCATTTTGATCCATTACTAAATAGATCTACTCAGAGCAAATCGTTTCTTGTGGTTTTGCTCCTTGCAATTTTGCGAATTCGCCCGTGCCAAAAGCCGGTTTCCAGCACACATTGCGCAAAAAACGATGGCCCGCAAAACCGCGCAGCTGCAATTGCTCCGCCGCGATCATTAGGCAACAATTATTATTTTTTGATTAACTGTAAATCCATTAATAACTGGCAGCCGAAAATGTTGTGAACCGGCGGCGCTGCGTTTCCATCATTGTGGGTCGGCCGCGGAATAAGAAGTGTGTGCTTTTATTGCATCGGTTTGGCCGCCGCGTTTAGTTGCGTGCCGGGTGAACGGGACCAATGAGATGTGTGATTAAACCCGGCGAGGACACAATGATAATCGAGTCAGTAGTAGTCGCATTATATCTCGCCCTAAGTAAATTCCTCCAATTAAATTGGCTCCCATCGTTGGGAAAGTGTAACGATGAACTCGTCTCGCGATACGGCCCCTATCACATGCACATCCGCATATTTTTTTAATCTTAATTTTCCCACTAATTTCTGCTGGTGCATTGCGAAATGCACCTCTCTCTATTCAAAATTAAAATAAAATCACTTTTCATTTTAAATAATTGTATTTTTCTAATGATCATTTCGATTTCGCAGGGAAGTGCTCTGGCCGACGCGCCACATGACTCTGCCTCGCTGCCCCTCGAACACCGCGCCGTCTACGGACCCCCACCTCCCTCAGGGGGATACGGACCTCCCGGGCCACCCGGCCTCGGCTCTCTGAACACCGTTGGCGATGACCCTTGGCCCTTGTCGGCACCTGACATGCCTCAAATCAAGCACCTGCAAGTGCAGTGCGAGAAGACGCACATGCGCGTCAACATCGAGTTCGACCGGCCCTTCTACGGCATGATCTTCTCCAAGGGCTTCTACAGCGACCCGCACTGCGTTCACCTCAAGCCCGGCACTGGCCACCTGAGCGCCACCTTCGAGATCTTCCTCAACAGCTGCGGCATGACCTCCTCGGCCAACGCTGGCGGCGGCAACGGCGTCTCTCTGCACAACGCTTACGGCGCCCCACCCACCCCTAGCGGCAGCTATGTCGAGAACACCATCATCATCCAGTACGACCCCTACGTCCAGGAGGTCTGGGATCAGGCCAGGAAGCTGCGCTGCACATGGTACGACTTCTACGAGAAGGCCGTCACCTTCCGCCCCTTCCAAGTGGACATGCTGCACGCCGTCACCGCCAACTTCCTGGGCGACAACCTCCAGTGCTGGATGCAGATCCAGGTCGGCAAGGGCCCCTGGGCCTCCGAGGTGTCCGGAATCGTCAAGATCGGCCAGACCATGACCATGGTCCTTGCCATCAAGGACGACGAGAACAAATTTGACATGCTTGTTCGCAACTGCGTCGCCCACGACGGCAAGCGCGCTCCCATCCAACTGGTTGATCAGTACGGCTGCGTCGTCCGACCCAAGATCATGTCCCGCTTCCAGAAGATCAAGAACTTTGGCCCTTCGGCTTCGGTCGTCTCCTTCGCATACTTCCAGGCGTTCAAGTTCCCCGACTCCATGAACGTGCACTTCCAGTGCGTCATCCAGGTCTGCAGGTACAACTGTCCCGAGCCCAAGTGCGCCGGCGCCCTGCCCGGAGGCGACTTCCCTGCTCTGGGCGGCGAACAATACGGTCCTCCTCCGGCCGCCGAGTACGGCGTCCCTGCCGGCCCCGGCGCCGAGTACGGACCTCCCGGACTGGCCGCCTTCGGTCTTGACCCTCGCCACCCCGCCGGACCCAGCGGAGCCTACTCCGAGCCCAAACCTGACGTCGTCCCCGCCCCTCAGGCTCAGACCCAGCAGAACAACAACGAGACCACAGCCCAGACCCAGCAGCCGGCCCAGGATCAGTCTCCGGCCGTGTCCGAGCAGCCCAAGCCGACCAACGCCCCGAGCGAGGACATCCAGGGCGTGCGTCCTCCTCCCCCGCACGGCGTTCGTGCCGTCTACACCACCATCAGACGCAAGGGCGAAGAGGGCATCGTCGGCGGACGCCCCCGCGCCATCCTGCCCGCCGAGCTGCAGGGCGTGCGTCGCCGTCGTGACGTCATGGACGTTGTCATCAAGCCCCGCATCTACAAACGCGAGGCTCAGGAGATGACTGATGTCAACACCGAGCGCATCATCCAGGTCGTCGCCCCCGGAGACGTCAACTTCAACCTGAACGGCGCCGCCGCAAACAACAACGAGACGGTCGTCATCCAGTCGGCGCCGTCTACGGACCAGGAGCACATCTGCCTGTCCATCGCCAGCTTCGTCGCCGGTCTGTCCATGTTGCTGATGGTGCTGGTGGTGGCCTGCCTGGTCGCCGCCTTCCTCTTCGTCCGGGTGCGCGCCGTCGACCGCAAGACCGCCACCACCACCTACTTCGACGGACCCTCCGAGTTCGTCAAAGTCGCCAACTAAACGCAGACGATTACGAAAAAACAGTCCACAGTCAGACGTGTGTGCAGCAAACGCCATTTCATCAAAAAAGCATCCTGGGGCTCGGGCCGAGCAAGCCCTGATTGCTCGTCCGCCGCCGAGTCAGCCTTACTGCCGAGGATTGCGTCAGGGTGCAGCTCCCATAAGACTTGTAGTGCATGTAGAGAGAGAGACTGCGAGTGAATGCGGCGACCGAGTGCGTAATTTTATTTATTAAATGTGTAAGAGATTTATAATCTGCGGGGAGGGTGCTCGTCGCCGAATTATATATTTTTGTAATTATTTACTGGGTATGAAAAAATTTAATAAAAATGATGGAAACACGGCTGAACGTTCTCCCCGTGGCATTCGAATTTAAGTCGGTGTCAATTTTTCGGAGAAGAGAAAAAGATTTGCGTGTGTACATAATAACAATTAAACTACGTATTATTATGATTTATATTCAATTGTCGCAGTTGAAATGCTCATTTTGTGTTTTAGTTAAAGTAAGCCCTATTATTGCGGCGCCGTGTCCAAATTTATTTGCAACAAGTGGATGCCCGATTTTGATTTTGTCAAAGTCGCGCGCCCACCAGCGAGATATGAATTGATATTAAAATACGAGTGTAAAATAACTCGGCTTGCGATTCCCTCCGCTTTTTTACGGAGGCTCGAGTAATCCGAGCTATTAATGCCCATACAAATTAAATCCAAAGCTTTTCCGCTTTCTTTATTACAAAAATACAAAGTCGAATTTCCGCAGCATACTCTTCTACTAACCACGAAATTTACTAATTTAATTTATTCTCTATCAATTACTCTCTTAATCTAATTTGTTATTAAATTATTTAAAAAGAGACGCGGGTATTATTCAAAATGTCAAAACCGATTCGATAAAAAAAGATCATGTTTTCGGCCGAACGCTCCAAATTGTGTATTGCAAAAATGTAGATTTTATTATTTCTTGTTGTGACTATATTTTACGAAATAATAAAGTGCACAAAAATATATTCCATAAGTACAGACGCTTTTGATTTCGAGACCTGTGAACGATCGAGACCATTCAAGGTTTGCTGGTCAGTAGGACTAATTTAATGGCCGGCAAGCAGGAAATAGCTGGAAGTGGAACACAGCATCTTTCTTTCTCTCTCTTGAGAGCGGCGATTCCGCCTTGAGCATCGGCACGACCAAGAAGAAAAGAGAAAGAGAGGTGAAATGAATTATAAATTCAAAAGTAGTTCAGCCACTTATATATCGTAATGAATTCAGGCGTCGTAAAATTTTAATGAAGAGACCAGCAGATCGGCATTCTTAACCTAGATAATTGAGACGCACGCTGCAGTAATCGATCGCCAGCATCACTTTTTTATTACCCTAAGGAGAAGAAGATTATATAAACAGAAATAAAGAAAAAAATCTCTTCCTCTTCATTATCGACTACATTTTTATTTTTATTTACTCCTGCGCCCCAATAAAACTGTTCAATAAATTTGTCCATTGCATTTTCTTTCCTTCTTTTAATCTGTGAAGCAATAAAACGATCTCTTCCGACAACCCTTTCTTTGTTTAATTGTTACTCAATACAGAAGAAAGAATAATATATCCTCTGGCATTTCATTCTTTAATTACGCTATATGCAAATGCGATTGTTCAAATAGGTGTGTATTAACAATGTGCCCGGTTGTGTGTATGTGTGTGGCATTTATTTGTGCGTCTCGGATGGATCTTCTTCACTCGACGCTCCTCTCCGACCGTTTCCCGTTACAGACCCAGAATCAGAAGCACACACCTCGCTCAAGGAGCCGCCGCGCACTGGGTCAGTAGACCAGAGAGAAAAGCGCCCATCTGATAGGCAACCGGCTTGACGCCAATAATAAGCACGTTGCCTACTACAAATTTTTCCTTGAGCTAAGTTGTTGGAATTATAAATATTTTATTTTTAATTTTTCTTTTATATTAATGCTTATTATTATGATATTATTATAATTTTTATCATTACCAAAATGGATTTGCACCGTATTTTTACTTCAATGATCGATTTTTACAACAGATAATAAAAAAAAAATTAAAAATTATTCTCTACTGATGAATTAATGATACATCCGGATACATCAATTATTTAAACTGTAAAGTTCGTTTGATGTACTTTACGGTGACATGCCTAAGTTTTATGGTTTAAAATTTACTTTCTACAAGAATCAACAATTAATAATTGAAAATAATGTACATAGCCATTAATAAGTTTTAACCTTTTTTTCTTAAACTTTTTAAATATTTTTCAAATATATTAAATTTGGAATTAGATTAAAAGTATAAAGATATTTTAGTGCGGCACGAAAATTATTTTTATTTGTTTGGCTTTGATGATGGATTAAATATTAGCAATGATAAAACCACGATTTTTCAAAATGTAAAAAGTTGCTCACAATAAATCATTGAATGGTGATGTGAAAAAATGAAAGCATGAATCAACAAATGATGGGCTGCGTGTCATTGTGGGTGCAGCATGAAAAAGCAATGGTCAGGGACAGTCCTTGTGGTCGGTCTTGCTGAACGGTTGCAGATCGACGCCGTTCGCCTTCAACACATAATCCGCAGCTCTGATTGTTCCCTCGGAGGGGAAACGCTCTCTCGTCAATACCCACGAAAATTCTGTTTGGGAGATTTTTAATTTATAAAAGAAAGTTGCAAAAAATGAAAGGAAATGTTACGGTAATTGAAAAATCCAAAGTCGTTGCAAGTGAAGACGACGGAGTATGAGACGTAATCAGTGTCCAAAATCCAGTAAGGAGATTCAAAACCACCTGAAATTTATTGAGTAATTGTAATTAAAATGTTTAGGATTGGGTAATTTAAAACAAATTTCTCACACTAATTAAGGTAAATGATGCAAACAGAAAATCGCGAAAGGATTTACCAAATTCTTAAAATTTTGATCTCAAGAAATAAAGAATATATTTTTTCATTTCAATGGATTTTGTATACATAATTGTGAATTTTAATCTTTTATGGATATGGATGGGGAAAAATTAAATTAATTTATTTTCTTGCACAGGATTATTATTGTTGATTTTGTGGAAAATCAAGTTTTAACACTGAAAATCACAAATTTAATATTCTCAAAATAATATTTTTAATATTTTAATTCAACTTCGCATGATTATAAAGTCGAGATCTAAATGTGTGCAACGTTTGTTAGAAATTATTTCACTTACAAAATAATTTGTAAAGTTCTATTTTGCATATTCAAGGAAGTTTGTATTTATCCCAAATATTGGCTAAATTAAAATTGATTTTTTTTTGCCGTAGTTCAACAGTTTAAATTTTAAGTCAAAGAGATCCATTTTCCCCAGTCCTAAAATCTTCTCGGAAAATTCAGAGTGAAAAAATTCAACTTGAAAAAACTTTGAAATCACATTACATAGTGTCTCAAAATTAAAGAAGACATTTTTCATTGATTTTTCAAGAAAATTTTTGTTTTCTTTCTTCCTCGATCAAATCGACAATGTGCACTGAATTGTGCACCGACTTTCGTGATCAATTAAGTGTAAATGTAGGAACGACCTTCCTTGACCTTGATGGTTCTTCGATTATGTCCGTCGTGAGTATTGAATTTATTTTGTTCTCCGAGTAAAACGTGGTGGAATGTCAGAAAACGGTTGTAATTTTTAGGCCCGAGACGCACAGACGTACATTCAATCAAAAGAGAATGTTGTCGAGAAGAGAAAGAGTAATTACCTGCTGACGGGAATCTGACTCCAAGTTTGGCCTCTCCATGCTCGCCTTTCAAAACGGCCGTGCCCATAATTGTGTTGTACCGCGATAACCTGTGGATTAATTTGAAATTTGTAAACATAAAGATATAAACACTGACGCATCCGGTTTCATTTAATTTTAGGTTCAAAAGACGCTTTGTAATTTTAAATCCACCGAAATCACTGAATCGGACAAAAAATTTCGCGGTTTCCTGTGTTTGGCGAAGGTCATATTTTTTTGGGCATGACAAAGCGTTGATCAAATATTAGTATGTGACTCACAGTGAGCTGAACTGTCTGTTGATGACGCCGATCACTCCATTGCCCTTATCAGTGTATTTGGCAATTGTGCAAGTTCCGCCCAATTGGAAGATTGCGAAGTATTTTTTGTACTCGTACCAGTCACCTAAATACTAAAACAAGACATTTCAATGGTTTTACTAAATAAAAATTTTAAATACACAATACTTGAACACATTTTTATTTCATTGGTTACTTTCATAACAAATAGATCTTTACATGCTTTTCCTTTGAAATGGGTTTGATGATAAAATAATTTGATTTGACTGAATCTTTTAATTTATATTCAATAGAGTTGTGATTTTATTTCGACTAACCTCAAAACTCGACGAAATCAAATTCAAGAAGCCAAACCAGAATCAAAGATAATTAAATAAAGACCCTAAACAAAAGTTAAAAAACAAATGAAAAGAAAAAAATCAAAAAAAATGATCTTGACAGTAAAAATTACAACCAAAAAATATACAAAACATATAATTGATTCAATTTTATAGATTTAATAAAAACTGCAAATAATTATTAAATTTAAATGTGTTAGCCGGACTTACAAGTGCAGGTTGGAAATTTGGCATGATTTTGACTTTAGGGCATCGTCCAAGCGCCACCCGTTGGGCGCTGACCTGAGAGGCGAGAGCCAGGAGGGCGAACAGAGCCAAGTGAAGGGTCTTCATGGTGCTGCGAAAAATTCAAGACTGAATCAGATTTGCGGATCAGCAGCATCGACAAAAAAAGATCTGCACCACCACCGCGAGTGAGAGTTCGCAAATTGCAGATCGTTAAAATTCTGGCGTTGCATGCAGAGCGCGGATAATGAGCTGCAATTGCATCACTGCAGCTTCTCCGCGCTCGGCGGCACAAACAATTGCAACTCTTTCTTCCCCATCCTTGGCACTATTGACGGTATTTCACGCAGTACTCTTTTTATAATTCGAGAGAGCCGCGACTAGAGCGTGAAGGCTCATTAGGAAACCATGCGTGCAAATTTGACAGTTTATTGAATCGAGATTTTATAATTGATTACAAATTCATATAATTTATTAATATTCATGACATAATATAAATTTCAACAATTCTGTGGAACGTTGAATTGAACTAATGGATTAGAGGAGAGACCAAAGTAGCATTTGATCCAATAAATTGTTTAATCATTTCTAGTGCATTCAATATCATAAAAGTCAAGTGTTTATATAATATTACAATTTCATAAAAACAGAAATAAAATATGACTTAAATGGTATAAAATATTGAAATATATATTTGAATATAAATTTAAAAATTCATCTTGATTAATTTAAAAATATAATTTAATAGTTTAAAAAAATATATATTGAGAAACTAATTATAATATGCTATAAAAAACATTTTTACATTATTGTATTGAAAACTAATTGTTTCCAAAATTTTAATTAATTCTTAAACAAAATACATTTGAACATCAATATAATCTTAAAAAGATAAAACGTGAAGTCTGAGAATATATAAAACTTGTTCTCACCTGTGTGTTATTATCTTGAGCGTCAGTCAGGTTTTAAGGAGCCTTGGTGCACCTGTGGTGCTTTTCCGTCGTTTCCTCCTCCGACCGTGCTGCCTCTTTTGTCAGTTGCATGAGCACCAAAAAACCTCGAGTCACCTCTGTTATATAACCGCGTTATCCAGAATATTGTGTCACGCACGCTTAGATTCTTTTGTCACTTCTAACCACCTAATCTTCACCTATTATACGATTTCATCTGCAGCTATTAAGTTATTTCAAAATTTGCCCAAACTTAGCTGAAACCTGTTCATTTAAAATTTTATTTTTGAGCTTTGGCACGTGTTTGGCAGCCCTCCCAGAAACCAAGGCAATAATTAAAAATGGCATTCTTCAACGTATTGTCGATGAATTTTATTGTTTTTTTCACCTCTGGAATATCAATTTTACTGTAGGAAATAAATTATTTATCAACAAATTAGGAAGTTTTTATTTTTTATAATTCAAATATATATAGATTAGAAGAGTTTGATATTTTGAAGTTTGTCGACCAGACCTTTAGGCTTGGCAGTCGATGAAAATCCGGTGCTGTGATGATCCTCCTTTGACAGCAAAACGACTCCCGCCATGCTTGTTGCGTGACCGAGAGTGGACGCTTGCTCTGCAAATTAGTATTATTTAGCGTTATACGTATTTTGACCTAACTAATATCGACAGATGCAGTAGAATTTTTAAAATGGAAAATAACAGGAGATTAAATTTTTTCTTACGTTCAACTTTGGAAGCCAAGTCGTAGCTGTGGCAACTGGTGTGAATCGTCTCCCTCAGGCTCTTCTTGGGGAAATTAATGTTTTCCAAAACTTTGAAAGCAGCATGCTTCAATTTTGAGCTGGGGGTTTGTTCGCGGGTTAGAATCAGAGCGGTGGCTGCAAAATGAGATTAAATCTTTAAAATAAATAAATACATTTCATAATTTTTATTTTCAATGTCTCTGAACTTTTGCAATTTTTTTTACTAAATTTCTTTTATATAACTATTTGGTCAATTGTCAAACTCTAAAATAAAAATCATAAATTTTACTTGTTTTCCAAATTTCAAATGAGTCAACGTATAATATTAAAATTTTATGACAATTTAATGATTATTGCGCCACTGAATAGACTATTTTTTGGTCCATTTATAATTTTTACCGTACCCTTGAAAGGTTCCAGTTCAATTTGAAAACTTTTAACAACTTCATTGCAACAAAATTTCTCAGTCCTTTAACCTATTGTAGCTCATTTTGCTACATTTTTCAGTCAGGTTCGTCTTTTGACGATATAAATAAGGATTAAATGGAAATATAGTTATTAAGTTTGAAAATATTGCGAGTATATAACGAAATACATATTTGAAACAATTATAATAATTAAAATCATACAAATAAAAATTATTAAAAATTTCTAGCAATAAAAAAAAATAATGCATTATTACGCATGGCGGTTCCGTTTTCCGATTCTTGGCAGGCATAAAAAACAGCGAATGACCTGTAATCAGTAGACAAGACCTTCAGCTCGGCCTTTTCGATGTCTGAAATTTTAAGAATTTAGAATTTTTTAAATTGGTTGTCATTTCAAACTAAATATGTTTACTTAAGGTCGGAATGGTAACAGCCAGAGTTCCATCAGGGACACTCTTCTTTGTAGGAGGGACAATTTTTCCAGCAACAGACACTGTGCTTTTCGTCCTGGAATTTATTTGAAGTTTTTTTTGCAAATTTTATTAATTAAAATGCAACTTACGCTGAACTGTAGGAGAAGCTGTTGAAGTCGAGCCTGGTGGGCGAAGTGGGGTCAGAGGTGAACTTGACCAGGTCGCACTTGAGTTTAAGTCCGGTCCTTCTGTGTGTGTGAGCGATGTCGTACCAAACGCCAGTCATCTAAAATAATTTAATGGGAACAATCACAAAGAATCAAAAAATAAAACTCACTTCGGAAGCGTTAAAGTTGGCCATCGAGCTGATTGGTGGGCATTTGTCCGCGGCCGCAAAGGTCACGGCGACCGTAAAAAGTACAATACCTGCGAAAGAAGGCATCGTGACGGACTGAATGACTTTTGTCGCGTAGGCGCCCTTTTATCCTCTAGGAAAGAAATGACGAAGTGCGATTTCTGGGTTAGTGCTAAGCAGCCTCAACGGTCTAAGGTGATAACTAGAGCTAATTTTTCGCGCACCAGAAACGTCCAGGTAAACATTCTCAATTATTAATAAATGTATTCAAATAATCATGTGACAAGATTAATGGTGCAAATTGAATGTTTAAAAAAAAAATTGAATTTATAATTAACTGGAGTTTTGAAAGGCTTGTGGTTTCATTTTTTTTTTCATTATGAAAACTCCATCTATTTTATATTCTTTTAATATAGAAAAATTTATTCAAAGAAAAAAAGTAGACATTTTAATGTTCTTTGGTGTGCCCATATTTAACGGCACATCCTCACTTAGCACCTTCAAAAGGCAATGTGCGAAGATCTTCGAGCATGAGTTGCAGATTTTTTGCACAGCTATATCTTGACATTGATTCCTGTTACATTTGGCGCTGAACTCAGACTGTTCTTCAATTCAACTGAAAAATCAAAGTTTCATTTTTGATAATGTTGCAAAATAATTAGGGCGATCCGAAAATAACTTGACCCATCCCTGACTAAATTATTCCGTCATTCAAATTGCATGACGCAGGGTTTAGTTAGCCTGGGTCAGGTTATTTGGATCAACCTCAATAATAATACCAAAAAGTCCCTCATAGTTTGGACATGCAAAATTGTCTGTGTATTTCAGGCTGGCTTTGGTTATTTTATTTCTCGTCAACACGTTCAGCGCATTTAGAACAGTACTGTTTTTTGCGTATTTGTCTCTTGTGACGATTATTATATTTTCTAAAACAAACCATTTGTAAGTTGTAACTATAGAAATAATTATTATTCAATTATTTACCCAAGTAACTCTTTTCCACGTTTATGCAGCTCCAAAAAACAGCAAAACTTTTGTAGTCGGTGTCCAAAATTAAAACATCTCCTCGCAAATCTGTTAATTAGTACTTCAATTAATAAATTAAAAAATTTATATAAATTTTCTTCAACTTACTCATATCATAAATGAAAACATCCAAGAGTCCTGAATCGCTGTTATTTCCTTTGATCGTGCCATTTCCTTGAATGTGATAGCTTCGATTGGCACTGAAATCATAAATTTTATAATTTAATTCATTAATTTTAATCTCCATTGTTTTATACCTGGGGCTGAAGGTGAAGCTGTTCAGATTGAACGATCTCGGTCCGGTCTGCCAAAAATGCTCAATGCTGCACCGCAAATCGACGCCTAACTCCCTTCTTGTATGAACTTGTTCGTACCAAATTCCAGAAAACTATATCAAATTTTACGTAATTTGAAAAATTGAAAATTCGTAGCTGACCTTTTTGATGTTGAAATTGGGCACTGCGGTGACGTTGGGACAATTTCCCATCCGTAAAACTTGTCCTTTGGAGAAAAAACTAATGGTCAAAACTAAAAGGATTATTTTAAACATCATTTGCGTTCTTGTGCTGAAAGTAAAATGTGCTCTTGAAAAGCAAAACTGCCGCCTTATCTGCAAGGTGTTGTGAAAAATAGTGGAAAGCGTTAACTTCTGTTGTCACTTACTAGTGATAATTTGGCAACCTGCCTCGCCAGTTATGTAATTTTATGACTTTGAACTTATTTTAAAGGACTCTTGATGGAATTAAACTCATGCCTAATATCTTTTATAAAGACAAAAGAAAAGAAGTTTTAAGTATGCAATTTGCAGCATTTGAAAGGTCTGCAGGTTGCCTACACAAAAAGATTGGAGTTTTCTGTATGGTATAAAAGAAGCCAGAACAGCTTTTTACAAAAGACGCCTTTATTATTTACAAAGTTTTACTCTTGTAACCTTAGAGAGAGACGGAAATAAATATATATAATTACAGATTCTCACATCAACTACATAGTCAGCAATTTTGTTGCTGGTTTACCAAATTAGGCAGGCACTCAATCACACTTTCAGAGTTCATTCATATATAAATAAATTAAATTTGACCAAAGATTCCCGTAGAGGAGGAAATTAGTGGCGGCGGGAGCTCTTGTTGCAGTTCTTCTGGTCCGTCCTTATGAAATAGGCCCGGCTGATGTGGTTTCGGTCGATCACGTTGTACGCATTTTGCATCACCTCCAAAGAGGCGTTCGGTGACCTCGTCAGAATCCAAGCGTTGCCTGCAGAAAAATTTTTTGTCACTGTTTTTCCACCGCAAGCCAATAGTTAAAAAGAAAACAACGTAATTAACTAAAATTCCACTACTTAAAAATCTTGTGTAAAATTTTGATTGAATTTGAAAATAAATATTTACGGGCACTGAAGATTCCAAAGTTTGTACAGGACCAGACGACGGCATAGTTGTCATAGTCAGTATCCATTATCCAGTAGGGAAGGTTCATTGGCACTGAAAATCAAAATCATTTCAATGAGTGTTGGGATAAAAAAAATATATGTACTTAATAAACTCTGAAAATTATTAAAATTTGAAATATTTTCTCTTACTGGGGATGGAGGGGAAGCTGATGGTCATTTTGCTCTCATCTGATCGTCCCATGACGTGGAGGTCTCCATCGATCACAGTTTGGATTCCAGTCCTGAATAAGAACAATATAATATATTTTTAACCCAAAGATCGTTTGATATAAAATATAAATAAAGGAAAAAAATATAACAAAAAAAGTATAGGTTTATGGTACGCTGTTTTTTTTTCCTTATTGATTTTAGAGCTGCCAATTTTGGCTTAATTTGCTAGACGTGATAATAACCAGCCTAAAATAAAACTTTTACATCGCTAAAATACATCTTATTTTTTAAAGAGCGCAGTTTTAAATTCATCTACAACAGACCAAATTTTTGCTTGAAAATTTTTTTAATTGATAAAAAAAATTCGGAATGTTTGCTCCCTGGTTTGTTTATACTATATCATTTGTTTATTTAATTCAACTGTTAAAAAAAAATTTTTTTTAATAATATTTGTAATTTTTTTTACTTGTTGAAAATACAAAAATAAGGAATACATGGCAGAGTCAAATCAAGAAAATTCATTAGTATATCAAAAACAAACTAACGATAATATTTTCTTGTTTATCGTTGGGCAATTACATAGGAGATAATTAAGACTTACAAGGAGCTCGTCTGCTTGTTGACAACCGAGAATCTGCTGTCGCCAGCGTCTGTGTAATTCGATGTCACGCATTTGGACGCGAACTCGAACAACGAAATGTATCGCTCGGCTTGGTACCACCGTCCCAAATACTGGAAACATGAACATAATTAATTACTCACCAATTATAATTTTACGTTAAATTATTGATTTCGTATTTCTGTCGTTAGCAGGAAGTACAAACTTTTGATTCATCAAATTGGGTTTTCTTTACAGTTAATTTGAGGCGTGCTTTCTACGCGGCCGGGCACGTATATGAAATATTGTGTACCTTGCTGATGCTAAAGTTGGCCATTGTTTTCATTTCAGGGCAAGGACCCAGGGAAGGCACCTGAGTCGTAACCACAACCATGAGTGCGGCGATCGTGATTAAAACGGCTGCTCGGTGGGCCATTTTTCAAACCTGCAACAATAATTTGATGCGGAAAAATAAACACCTCGATTAGTCATTTCAATTGTCAAACAGACTCATTAGTATTCTTGCGAAACGTGGACTGTCCGAAATGGGACATCCTTTATTTGTTCAAAAGGAGCTGCGATTGGAATGACAAATAATGAGGAATTGGCACCTAGGCCTGCTGGAATTTTGACAGGTGTCACTAAACTTTCCTCGAATTTTTCTTCCAAACGCAGATTTCTCTTAAAAAGAATTGCAATTTCTAACCGTCAAAGTCACGGTGCATTTTATTTATATGTAGCTTTGGAGAGAGAAAAACTGGCTCTCCCGCATTTGGGAACGCTTGTTAGTGAAACCGTCCGTGAGTATCTTCGCGTCCCATTTCCAGCAACCGCGCCGATATTGGGTTTAATAATGTGTGTGTTTCTCTCTGCGCTTGCATATCAAGTGGTGCATCTCTTTCTTTCTTCTCGAGTTTGTGCCCGCACGCCCATAATTTTATAACGGAACACGCGGGCTTAGGTGACACACTCGACTGAAAGGCACACGACCTGATCTGGATCAAAGGCCTATTATCCCGTCTCAAAAAATTATGACTTTTTCGCATTGGAAATTAAATTTTAATCAGCTCTCTGTCAGTAAATACCATTACTTGATAATATATTCATTTGATTTTATTAGTTGAAATGATAAATAATTTTCTTAATATAGCCTGAAAGAAAAGCTTGCGAAAATATGTTGACACATTGAAATTCATCAAATAATAACGCAAGTCGCGTAGAATATATAATTATTCTGTAGTTAAAATAATATATTATGTTTATTTTGGTTGTAATACAAATATTAAAGTTAAATATAAAATAATTAAAAAATACAATAATTTTAAAAGTTAAAATATATTTTTAAAAAAGCAATAAAATTGTTAAATAATTATGTTATACTATGATAATTGATAAGTAGAACTTTGCTTTTAATGAAATTTTTAATTTTTTTATAGAGTTGCGTTTATTACTTTTTTAAATTTGTGTGCATGAGACCTACTTGCAATATTTCAGCTTTTCTTTAGTCGCCACGCGAACCTGATTTTACACGATATTACATTGCTCTGGAGGGACGTCTGACCTGAATCAGGGTCCGCTGATTCATGGCCAGGGTAACTCAATATACAGTACACAGAGCGAAGGAGAGTTCAAGATGACAGTGACTATCCTCAATTCGCAAACGACAAAAAAAACTTGATGGCCTAAAACTTTCAAACTTTTATTGAAAGGATGCTTACTAACCTGAATAGGCAAGAAACGAGAAAATAAAAATTGATGGAAGTGTAAGGTTTGAAATTAAAATTTTTAAAGAAGCAGGAATTTAATATAACGGAATAAATGAATCTAAATATAATAAATACATAATTGACTGGAGAAAATGTAAAATGACGCCCGATGCGAACTTCATTTATTTATTTTGATATTTTTTAAGTTAAAATTACATGAATAGCGTGATATTTATACAAGATAAATAACCATATGAAATTGACCAAATTTTAAGAGTGTAAAGAAACATATTCGCAAAAATAATTATTTTATTGTTAATAAATTATGTATTATTTTAATCAAAGTGTAAATAATGCGGTTGGAAATAAAATTACGCAAAATTTGCTAAAATTGCCATTTTTTTATCCAAGTGACCCCAAGAGCGAGCGCGCCATAATTCGGTTGCAACAACAACTGTACTTTGTCTCATTACCTGCAAGTGCGCGAATATGGAGTGAACGAACTGCAGTGGAGAGCCGGTGCTTTCTTTGTAGAGTGTATTGCGGTGCGCCGATCACAACTGCCTGGCCTGAGTGAGTCTTCGTGAAGGCTGCGGGTTTCCAAGGTTGGGGTCACCCCTCCAATGGTACCGTACACCAAGGAGTTGAACCTCTTTCCTTCTTCCTTACTTACTCACTCGGTGCACAACCGGGTCTAGCACAATCGATCGCCGACGACTACGGTGCATCTATTTTTTTCCTAATGTGTTCAATTTGGACCCAAATAGGCGTGTTATTTGTTTGCTTCAAACAAGCCCAAGCGGACAAACAATAAATATTGAGGCGGAAAGATGTGCACACAAAAAAAATCGTGCTGTAACTGTCTCTTGATTGAGGGATTTCCCTACAATCATAACAGCGGAACGTTATTTTCAAAGAAATAACTATTATTATTCTTGAGTAAAAGGTATGCTTAATTTAGTATCAAATTAAATGTAGAGAACATAAAATTAATAATTTCATCAACGATTTTAACGAATGGACAAAAACAAAATGCGCAACAGGATTGAACAGGATTTTGGAAAATATCGCTAGGATGATTTTAGGTGGTCATGATTCTACCGATTTTATGATAAAACCATGCTCAAATCGCAGAAAAAAATTATTGACTTTGGCTGCAAGCAAAGCTTGAAAGTTAATTATTATGTACATACTTAAACTTAAAATTATTATTTTTAACTTTTTAAAATTATTTAAAATGATGTTCTACATTTTTTTATTCCTTTTATTTTAAATAAATTTTTATAATTTTATTTAATAAATTTAACTACTATAAATTTTACAGAAATTATTATTTTTAATTTGATTAAAATTTAATCAGTAAATTAAAATTATTAGCAATTACAAAAAGTATAATATCAGAGATTAAATTACAATGTCAAAAATACTGTAGGTTCTTTCCACTGAATTTAAGTTATATGATTGATTAGAAGAATATTAAGAAAAAAATCAATTATTATTCATATAGAAATTTATACATCTACAGAGGAAACTTTTTTTAATATTCATTTCCATTTTGAATTGTGTATACAAATAGAAAGGAACAAAAATGTGTTAATAGGAGGGCACAAGGCGGATGATATTGTCAATTTTTTTTAAGCAAACTTTCGGCAAAGTGTTAACAGAAGCAGGTCAAGAACCTCTCACTGCGCCGAGTGTTTTTCTGCGTCTCGCCGATTTTCTTTCCTCATCGTCACGAAACACCTGTTAATTGGTCTGTCAAATACACGTGAAACAACGAGAGATGCTGCAGTTCATCGCACCAAATGAAGCTTCTTTCCTTCTCTCTTTTGTACCGCGATCCTGATTTCTTAAAGCTTGCACATTGTTGACCGTGAACTTGAGAAGTGCTATAGAGATGTATGCACTCATAAATAATATAATTATACACATTGATGCGTATGTTTTATATACAGTATATGACCTACTCCACCTCTTAGAAGAGCGGGAGGAAAGGTGTTTTATTTATAGTGCTGAAAAAAAGACACTCCAGAATGGTCTGTGGTTACACACATTTTTTATATACTAAAGTGAAGCATAAAATTTTAATGTGGTATGAATTGATCATTTAATATTTATATTTTATATCAACTAAAATCGGACATAGAATTGATATTAATAAAAAATTAATTTTTTCTCAGAAAGATTGAACTATAATAGCTGATGCTTTAATTTTTTTTTTAAATACGACAATTTTATAAAAAGCAAGAGAATTAAAATTAAAAAATAAATCACCACCAAGAAAAAATTATTATATCTTTGCAAACTGATGACCTTTTTTTAAAAGTTGTGCAACTTTTTTTCAATAAAATCAAACTTAATTTTAAAAATTTATTTTTATTTTTCAAGCAGCAAATGTTTAGAGTTGTATATATTTTCATCTTGAGCTGCTTTAGGAGAAAATGTAAATGAGCTTTAGAGTCAAAAAGGTCAGTGTCCTAAACCTCTCGCGGTGCCTCCCTGGACAAATCAGGTTTTCTTTATTATAGCCTCTCCCTGAGGCCCAGTCCATTAGAGCGACGGCATAATTTGTGAGTGTTTATTTTCAGCATTCCTCTCTCTCTCTCTTTTCAAGCTTATAATTTCGTGTGGCTTCTTGAAATTTGTGGGCTCCGCCACAATTCCCACAAATCCTTTCGCTTTTAATCCTTGCCGACCACAGATATACAAGAGCGAAGATGTTTTATATCAAATAGAAGAAAACAACATACAATTTGGGAAAACAACATTTTTTTTATTTTTTGTTTTTGGGGGAAAATAAATAACGTGGCACTCTGACACGACAACACGTGGTCACAAAGAGAGTAAAAAAATAAATTATATTAAATAAAAAACACATACGCGTCTCAGAGCATGCATAAGCCCATATAAAATGTTAGTATGCTAAAAAATTATAATAAACACACGCAAGAGTAAAGGAGATCGTGGACATTTAAAAAATGCAACTTGAAGTTAAAGTGTGCGCTGACTAAATCGACAGACACCGTGGGAGTTGGTTTGTAATAATTTTTGGTGACTGGAAGTGCAAGATCAAGTTAGTCTATTAACTGCTGCTAACATTTATCTCAATGGGGAGGTATACGCACTTGTTGAAGCATACAAAAAAAATATACCATTGTGACCAATGTTGTCGATGTTAGAGTCCAACTTCAACAGAAGGCGCTTGTTTTTGCCTTTAACAATTTTTTTTTTGCATTTTACGTTTTATTTAGTGTGTGAATTTCTTCATCTTCTTGTTTACGCCTCAGCCTTGACGGGCTTGACCTCCTCGACGGGTTTCACCTCTTCGACGGGCTTGGCCTCTTCGACTACCCTCTGCGAGTCCACGGTGGGTTCGGGTTCGGCGACGGCAGGGACGGTTTCCTTTTCAGCTTCAACGGCTGCAGGCTCAGGTTCAGGCTGGAAAATTGATCAAAGTTGAATTATTTTGGTTTAAAACTTCTAAGAAAGAAAAATGCCGACCTAATTTATAAATTCGAATTAAAAATATTAAAAAAAAAAAAAAACACACACACACACACACACATACTAGTGTGTCAAAATCATATAAACATAAAGCCTAGGATATTTTTATTGAATTTTGCAGATTAATTAATTAATGTGATATTGACATTTCTCAAGATTATATAATTGCAAAGGCTGAATTAATAGTTGTTTAAATAAACAAACTAAAGGAACATAAATTGCTAGAATTTGACAAAATTATATCGATTTTTTCATTCTTAAATCTGTAAAACCGTTAAAAAGTATTAATTTGTAAGAAAATATTTATGTACATAGCTAAAATTAAAAATTTATTCAATAAAATATTTTAGATAAACTTAAAAAATAAATTATTTTCAATCCAAGTTGTAATTATAATTTGGAAATAATATTTTAAATTTATAACTTTTTGTAATTGATAAAAATTAATTTTACCTCGGCCTTAACAGCATCTACGACGGGCTTGGCCTCGGCGGCGAAGGCCTCAGCGACGGGCTTCTTCTCCTCAACCTGGTTCTGCTCGGCCTGCACATTCTTGACATGCACCTGCTGGTCGTGGACGGCGTTTCGCACGGCCGGGGCCACGGTGGTTGTGGCTGGGGCGGCGGCAGCAGCGGCGGCGGCCGCAGCTTCGGCCGCCTGGTTGCAACCCTCCTGGTCGACGTTGCTAATGAAGCGCAAGTTGAGGCCCAGCTTCTCCAGTTGGGCCGAAGCGATCGTCAGCACCTTGGGGTCGGGCACCGCATCGCGAGTCATCACCCAAGCATTCTCTGTTCCCGACACAAAATTACAACAACAAAATTATTATTTTGTTAACAAATAGAGCTTTTTTACTTCACTTTTCAAATCGAGCGAAAAATTCAATGACATAAAAAAGTTAAAAAAAAAATTGAATTACTCAATATTTATATTTCGAAATCACTAATTTCGGAGAGAAAAACTATTTCACCCAAAAATCACAAATTTTTCATTTTATTTGGAAAAAAAGTATTTTTTTTAAATCACTTGTTAGAAACCAACAAAACTTTGCCTGATATCATATAATTTTGTCAGGAGTCCCATTTTTAAATCATTATTACTCCTCTGATAAGCAACATAATTATTTCATTAATTTGACGCTTCCCGCTCAATATTAAAATATTTCCCTGAAAGCTTCTGTAAAGCCAAATTTTTTTAAACTCAAAATTTCAATTATTGCAAGGTAAAAATGTCACTATTGAACAAATTAAATTTTGCAATTTAAGCAATTATAAAAATTGGAACTTACGGGTGGAGAGCACATAGGGCAGGTAGGCGCTGCACGACCACAGAATGGCATAAGAGTCGTAGTCAGTAGCGACGACGTTGTACTCAGTGTTGTAGCCAACAACTGGAAACAGAAACCAAAATTGAAGCCTACGGTCGGACGGGGAGAGGGAAATTGTCAAGACTTACTGGGCACCTGGTCGTAGCGGATGGAAAGGCGGCCCTCCTTGGAGTCAGAGGCCACCTTCAGCTCGCCGTTGACGACACGGGTGACGCCGGTGCTGCAATTAAAGCGACCATTAAGGTGGTGCCACGGAGGGGAGGGAGAATCAAATAATATTTATCAGGACGAGTTTCGGGCTTATTTATTCTCGCCACGATAGTTAATTATTATTGGGCTATTAGTCTAGCTGGAAAGGGGCCTAGAGTGAGGTATGCGTCGCCACTAAAAGCATTTGCATTATTTATAATACATTAAGACAAACAAATGGTCAAAGAAGAACAACGCTTTGCTAAGACCTTGAAACCACTAAGGGTGTACTTCAGATTCTAAAAATTTATTTATCTAAAGCTTTTGAAAAGTCCAGAGAAGAAAATAGAATAGAAAAATTGAATTTTAAGAGGAGAAAAAAAATAGACAAAAACTTTAGAAATAGGCATTTTGCCATTTCTTAATTACTTCACAAAACAGCCTTATTTTAAATTGATTATAAAATCAAAAATACTTATTAAGCCAAATAAAATAAATCCAGTTCTTCATAAATTAATTGAAATAAAACTTTAATTGTAAGATTCATCTTTATGGAAATATCTTTCAATCTATAATTTATTTTATTATACTCACAGTCGGCTAGTGATGGTGTTGGCGGCGACGTATTTGCCGTTGGGTGCCAAGGAGTACTCGATTTTGCCGCAACGGGTGCCAACTTCGGACAGGGTGAAGTAACGCTGGTTCTCGTACCAGGTGCCCAAGAACTACGATTCGAAATTTTACAAATGAATAAAATAAATTTGCCACGAGCAGAAGTGAGGAGAAGGGGCGGTGTCGCGGAAATTCGAGCCAAGTTCATTGTTTCTCGCGGGTCGTCGTGCTCTTGCGAGCGTTCAAGTCTCTCTCCGATCTTTCTTTTTTTCCACACACCCGTTCGCTCAGGTGCATGACTCTTGTTCATATTTTTTTTTTTTACTTTAGTTACGCCTCGTGCACCGTTCATTGAAAGAAAACTGCTTTTTTTAAATGCAGTCTGGTGCACCTTCTACAAAAAAAAACTGCCTACACGTGCGTCAAGTTTCTCAAGGACAAATGGAAAAATTAAATTGGGAGAGATAAAAAATTTGGCACTCAGGGCGTGCCCGTCCAAATACTCACGCGGCTGATGTCAAAATCGGCGACTGGTTTGTAATCGGGGCAGGAGCCGAATCCTGGGATCTGCGCGTTGACCGCGGCCACGGCCAAGCCGGCGAAAATAATCAGCTTCAGCGCCATCCCTAACAGAAGCAACGAGAAGAAGAGATTTTTTTATGAAAAAGCCGCAACGTTTGACGAGGGGTAAAAAGCAGTAAAAAGCTGCTGTGGTTTAGGAGATTTGGGTTAAACAAAAAGTGCAAATTCAATTTAAGAAAGAGAATCTTTTCAAGGTTAAATTATGTTACATGTGAGCAAAAATTCAATATTAATAACAAAATTTGTGTAGTTTGTGTGTAATTTAGAAAAAGATAGAAATGTTTGAAAAGAGTAAAACTGTGGTTTAATGTTTCTTTTCTAATTTTAGTAAGATTCATTAGAAATTTTGTAATTATGTTAAATTAAATAGTCTGTATTTTTTTTTTTTAAATAAATAATAAACTAAATTTAAATAAATTTTGGGTCTAAAAAATTTTGAAACATAAGAAATAGAATATCGTTGGATCTAAAGTAAAAATTTGATGAATGCTTTAAAGTAAATTAGGAATATTGTGAACCTTCGGAAGTTGAAATGCTGGGATGAAATGAAAAGTTTGGAGGAGAGACTCACCTTCTTTTGTATGTGAGAGTCGGCGCGAAAATCACGCCTGCCTCCTCTGCGCTGAGTATTTATGCCGCGGCGAGGTAACGGTGCCTGCTGGAGCCTATAGTCGCGCAGCTCCTCAGCTTCCAGCGGAGGTCAACAAACTGCCTGGCTAGAGCCTCGACCCTGCTGGCTGCCTCGCCGTAAAACTCGCGGCTCAGCTTCTTCTTCGCGCTGCTTCACTGCCCATTTAATAACACTCGCGATGAAATTATACATTTTCGTTTGGCCGAGCGCAAAAGCCATTTCCCTTTCGTTCGACGCGTTTGCTCGTTATAATTGCACTCGCCAGCTTCCACACACTCACACACGTGTAATTTTCCACAATCACGGACAGAGAAAAACAGAGATTTTACTTCGGTGATGCGAGAAAATAGCCTTCAGGAGATGCCTGACGTTTCATTGCAGTTTTAGAATGCTTGCATATTTTCTTTGCTATAAACAGACTTTATAATTGATAGACTCAATTTTGCCTTTAAAAATCGCAAGATATAGATTTTTTAAGCAAAAATCTTGGAAAACTATTTTAGCGAGTCATTTTATTCACATTTGATAGAAGTAATTAAATTATTAAGAATGCAGAATACTCTAATTTTCTTTTTGTTCTAAAATTTTTTAAGGCGCTGAAGTGATTTTCTAAGAAAAGGAAATCATTTTAAAAATAAGGGCTCAATGTTTTAATAAATGTTAAAAAATCCTTATCGTGAAATAAAATCTTTAAAAATTTTATTCTCACATAATGTAATTTGAGCTAGAATAACATAATTCATACAGATGCATGTAAGCAAATACATAGGAAAAATTTATTACTGCTATTATGCAGAAAAAAACATTTAAATATAATAATTATTTGCTATTATAAACAAAAATTTAATTTAATTTTTTATAAAAAAGTTCTTTTATACCTTTTTTCTTTTTTCAATTCAAATTATTAATTTTAACTGTTATACATGTACTGCGTGCGGTGAAAATATATGTATACTACAAAATATGCTGTTTGTGCTTAAAAATGTATTACACTACATAATATATTTTATAAATTCGAACCTGTTCATGTTAAATATTATCTTTAATTTTACAACAACTGCAATCACTTTGGCCAGAATTACGAATTAATGAGCGTCAATAATAATATTTATAAATTATTTAATTAAAGAAATAGTTTAGAACAAATTAACAAGTATTCGCGGTCATCCAATCATATAATTCGTCTATTAAATAGACTAAAATAATTGACGTTGTTTAAAAATTTTAAATAACTCATTTACCACCCACATGAAAAAAATAGATTGGATACCAAAAATGCTTAATTCGTGATATACATATTACAGACGCTGCAGGAAGAATATTAATTAGCTGAACGGAAAAAATTTTTAAAAAAGGAGAAAAACCACATTCAATAATATGAGCAAAAATTTTTTACTTAGAGTTGCGTGTTATTTTTTTAATTTATCTTCGTAGATGAATAGATAATTATAAATTAAGAAAGTAAAAAAATTATAAATACTATAGATTTATTTATTAAATTTAGTTAGCATTTTTTGCAAGTTTTAACACACCCATTTTTCTGTTTAATACAAGAACAGTTTTGCAATGTCTTCAATTCTCACAACACATTTTTTAACACTAATCAATGGTCGCTTTCTGGGCAGTAAAATGTCAAACACGCGCGTCAAAAGCCAGACACCACTGACTCATGTCAGTTTTGGAGAGCGTCATTTTGGCACAAATTTCTGCTGCAAATGGACAAATCGTGCTGAACTGACCTGTGCCAAATAGCGAGCAGCCCAGTTAATTTGTCTGGACGTGACGAGTGGCAGAATGACGAGGAGAAGAAGAAGAAGAAAATAATAGCGGCGCTTTAAGGCCTCCTTATTGACATCTACAACTTCTGTTTGCGGAAAATCGGCCCGAAATTTTTGGACCCAGATTTTTTTATAGATTCCTGCCCACCAGTGGAGTTGATTGCTCAAAGAAAAATGGGGGGTCGCGTGGATTAATCTTGAAATATGATTTTTTGAAATTTAACATGGCGTTTTATGGAGATTTTTGTTAATGGCGATTAAAAAAAATCTGCCCGAAATTTTTTGCTCAAAATTGCACAAAATGATAATTGAATGACCCTAAACAGATAATCAGAAAAAATTGGGAGTTCATGGGGCAAAAATTTTGCATTGGGCATATGGGAGATCAAAAAAACCTCTTTGGTACTCTTAGCATTGCAATAAGGAGTCCTTAATTTGTTACCCCAATGTGGGTGTGGGAAACAGGCCTGCATTTCACATTCAAGAGCATACAGTATTTTTATACAATCAGATATGTGCTAAAATAACATGTTTGCAATTTGGCAAGAAGAGATGCTAAGTGCAAATTCCAAATTGAGTATAAATGAATAAGTGAGATTTTTCAGAAGCTCATAGCAAATAGATAACGGAAAATAAGAAAGCGCGCGCTAAAATTTTAGAGATGCGGAATTAAAATTAAAACTTATTTTACTATGAAAAGTGCGATTATGTTGAATTGAATTAATTTCTGTTCTTAGAGTTAAGTCTTTGCAAGCTTTTAGCGTTTTATTAATAAATAAATAAATTTATTGAAAAATTAAAAAAAAAAAAAAAAAAAAAAAAACTCGCCGCAAATTTCCTTTTGGATAAATTCCGTTTCGGACTATTTCCAAATTTTCGGATGAAGTCTGAAAAGGCATTTTCGGACAAATTCCTTTCGGATGAAAGGCGATCTACCCTATCAGGTACTCTCAACTTCTTTCGTTTTTGATCTTCAACTTCAATGGTAATTTTATTTTTTCATTGATTTCTTTCTTTTGTAAATAAGTGCACATAAAAATGTTTTACTGAAAACGAATAAAAATATCTGCGTTTCAATGCTAGATTTTATAGTTGTTTAACGATTATATGGATTATATATTATAATATTATATTCTATTTCAGTCAAATATATTATGTTTAAAGAAAGGAAAAATAGTGCCTCACCCCTAATTAACATATCTGCTGTTGCAAATTCAAGTCAAGTATTTATTAAAGCTCTCAAAATCTTGTAAAAAAGCGATGTAAAGTAAAAATAAAAGACATTGTTTCTTTCTTGAAGAAGCATTTTTATTTAAAATTTTATTGGATTATTATTATTATTATTTTTATTTTTTTTAACAAAAATGCAATTCTTTTTATGCATTAACTGCAAAACTTAAAAGTTTTAACCTTCTTGGGTGCCTCATTTTAATTTATGCTGCATTCTAAAAGATCCATTCCAGTGGCTTCCTAATATTTCATTCCCACTTGCGATGATTTAAGATTATAAGAGCTCATGATTGATAACCGTTGGCAAGCTATTTTTTTATTATAATCGCGGCGAGCATCTCTCTGAAAAATTATGAGTACTTATGTAGCAGAAGTGGCCGCGCAAAGCCATTAAAATAAATTTTATCTATCCAAGGCAGCCTTGAACTCGCGCCTCCTATTAATGAAGCATCAGGAGTTCTGGAAAGCCGCGTGGAAATTAAAATATACGCAGCTCAAGATGCGATGAGATGCCGAGAGGAGCAGAGGAATAGGAAAAAGGCGTGATGGCAGTAGTTCGTTCATCTGAGGAGTTTCTTGCAGGTCGTTTAATTCGTCCGCAACAGAGTTAGCTGCGGCTCTGTAGGCCTCACTAGCCGCAGGCATTTCATCGTTTTCTTGCTCTTTTTGAGAAGGGCAGTGCGAAAAAGTTATTAATTCGATCTAAATGAATATGATACAATCCACAATAAGGAAACAATTACTTTAATGTTTCTCTCCCATCCTGTTCACGAATTTTTAGTCTCCTTATCTTTAAGATCAACTCAATTTGCAAGGTTAATTTGAAGAATTGTAATTTTAAATATTTTAAAAATACAATTTTCTATTAGAATTAGGCCTAAAAATAATTACAACAGACTAAATTTGATTTTAATGCCATAAAGTATTTAAATTTAAAATACTAATTAACTAATCAATATGCGGATCAACCAACTCAATCAATGTATAAACTAATTAATTATTTTGCATTTAAAATTTATGATAAAATTTAAAAATCGTTTTCCTTTGTACACCTATACCTGTGTTGAATAAATATTCTTTTATATACTATTTTGTTTTATACATTTTATAAAAATATTAAAAAAGGATTAGAAAAAAATAAGGGTGGAGTCTTATCAGCCGTTTTTGGTCTTGTAATGAAGATGGGCGCAGATTGAGCAGAATAAATAAAAATTAAATTAATTTAATTTAATTATCTATAGTTGCAAAGTTTTTCTATTGATTTTTCATCAGGCAATTGCTGCCCAAATAGCCCAGAAATTATCAATTTAAATCTTACAAGAGAGGAAACTGATTTAAAACAATCAACCATTATTTTTTTTTAACGACTCAAAATTAACATATTTACAGAATTGTAATTTTGGCTTAAATAATTATTTTTCATTGCCCTTGCTTGAAGGAATAGTCCAAAGAATGGCTACATAACAAGGCGCACAACAACTATATTTATGTACTTTCAGTTTCTCGCCAGGCTGATGACCATAATAGCATTTATTTATCTCCGCGTTTATTTTTCTCCTTTCCGCGGATCTCGCGTGAGCTGCTGCTTTTCTCGGTTTGTTGCTTGGCCACTCTTTTTTTTTCTCATTTCCGAAGTGCCCTTATGTGAGTGTATATCAATTATGGCGAGATGCACTGCCGCTTTTGCGTGCATCCACCGCGCATTGCAGAGATATTTATACTTACAAAGTGATCAAGCGCAAACCGCATTTGTCGGAGAGGAAGAAAATAAATCTCGGCAGGTGGACTGCAACTCCATGGTTACTTTTCTTGTTGCTTTAACGCGAACTCGTTAAATACCATTGTTAAATTGCTGCCAAGAAGTACGTACTTAAATTTTTTACAATCAGTGCAGATTTTCTTTTTGCTCGTTAAAATTTGTGATCCTCTTCCTTTTTTGCACGTTTACTTCCTGATTTTACAACAACAAAAATATAATTAAATAAACAACACACTTCAAATTTGTCTTGCATCTCATACTATACAAATTTTTGCCTAATAAATCATGTTGACGATTTTTCTCTCATTTTGAATATAGAACTTACTTAAATTGGTTTAATTTTTAATGAACATTCACCTCTTTAATATATTTATAGTAAAATTCAATTTCATTAAACATGAAGAACAATTATTTTTACTGCGGTTCAGCTTAGTCTTTTTTAAAGTGTAAATTGGCTTTTGAGATATTTGGAACATAAATAATGGAGTTTGTTACTAGCCCATTTAAATCCACACTGCCTCATCTCTCGCATTTTGTGCGTCGGTGTTATTTGTGTTGTGTTTTTTTAATCGGAGATAAATGGCAAAATATGGCCTGTACAGTTAGCAAAAGATCACGACCATCTCTCGGCGCTTGCACAGAACGCCAATTAAGGAGCAAAATGCCCGCACGCCGCCCAACACGCCAGCATGGCCCTCTTTTTTTTATCCTTTTTACATTACCAAACAGCAAGAGAGAAGAATACCTTTTGTGCGCCCGATGAACTGTTACACTTATTCGATACAACTGCTATCAAATTGCAGAGAAGCAGGGCAGATTTAGTGTTATCTCTTTTCCAATTCCTAACTTTCAACAGTTGACTACATTTCAATGCGAATTTTTTACAAGCAACGTTAGAAAGTTATATAATTACAACTACTTTGCTCATTTCTGGTTAAAAAAAATTAATGTAGTAATTTTATTTATTTTAAGATAATTTCCAACCTATAAATAAATAAATTAATAAATAATATTAAACACATAAATATAATATTATATTTTACACATTATGATTAACTTTAATATATTTTTAATAATTTTAAACATTTATTTTTTGTTTTTCTGTGTTGTTGTTAATTACTAATTAAAAAATACGATTTTGATAGAAATTATTTTTAAGCCAACTAAATATAAAAATATAATAAATTGGTTATATATGTCCTTTGATAATTCTATCAGCTTCATTCAACAAAATCTTCATATATATCTCAATTCAATGCATTAAGGTAATGCTTATATCAAGCTTAATAATTAATAATTCTAATAATTTTTAATTTTCAACAAGGAATAATGCAACAGTTTCACTGAATGACGACCGCTTATCTAATAGCAATAATAAAATATAATAACTGAATTAAACCTGAGCAATGGGATGAAATAAAATCTTGTCAGCAAAAATTATCAATCCTGCTCCTTACAAAACGGTGCAACCGCTAAACGCATACAATGCAAAGAACAGAGTTATGCTCCATTTCCATCACGTGCAGCATATTGACAATGAGAGCAAAATTTTATATCACATGTTAGAGGTTTGATCAGTCGGACACAATTAAATGTATTTCCGTTCATTCTCACGGGGCGATAAGAATTAACACACGGCCTTGTTTTTTTTCTATTCTTCTTTATTATGCGCCGCGGATCGATCTGATTATTATTGCAACGCGATCGCCTCTCTTTTGAAACGATTCTCTCCGTATTCTTTTTCCATCGCCTTTCATCCCAGCGCTACATCTAACGGGATTCAACACACGTTCGTGTATTATTATTAGTTGGTAGAGCGAGATAAATATATCAAATAATTCATGCACGAGAGAAAATGCGCATTTAAATTTTTTAAAGACATTCCTATTACATCCAAAACGTCCGAGCAAACAGCCGCGGGCTGCCATTTATTAAAGAACAAGAAGAAGGCGCGTTCTTTGTTGTTGCGAAAGAAACGAGAGCCTCTCCAACAATATTCATAATTTACAATCCTTACTATAAGTTCTTCATTTTATATATTTACTTAATTTACTTAAGGCTGGATTTTTCACAATATTTTTTGCTTTCATTTTCTGAATGTGTTCATTAAAAATTTAAAAAGCGTTTTAAATTTATAATGGAAAATTTATTATTTTAATGGAGAGAATTTTGGGCAGCTTTTAATTTTTAATCCCTTATTGCATTAATTTACTCTAAATCTGAACATTTTATTCTGCATGTGTGTATTATTATAAAGCTATTACAGGAAACTCTGGGAAAATCTTTCTTTATCATGATATTAATAACCTCAGAAAGAAAAATAAACGTCACACCTATCAGAAAATAATTCTTATTTCCTGCTTTAGAGCTATAAATATATTTTTTGATTTATTTAAATTTTATTTTATTAATTTTACACAATTAAAAATTAAAATCCGCTTTATCTTATTCTTTAGCTATAATTATAATAATTAAAAATGAATAAAAATTATTTTAATTAATACATAAAACATAAAAATTTTAAATATACACATTAAAAATTAAAACTGAAATAATAATTCAGAAAATATTATATTATAAAATAATAATTTTATATTGTATAAAGTTCTATTTTAAAGCTAAAGATGACGTTTGCGTCGAGCTGTGGGCCGAACTCGAGCGCCTCTAGTCCTCGATCCTCAAGCTCAATGTAAATATAAATTCGCCTTCTGTTGGCTTCATCAATTTGCACTTCACGTGCTTTCCATCTGTTTAACCTTACTTTGAAAGTACCTCATCTATTTGCTAATTGAAATTCATCTGAACGTAAGTATGTTTTTCTTGAACTCCTCTTGTGAAATGGAAATCTAAACTTATTATAACAAATACGTAGAAAAGCTCTTATTAATTAATATTTCTTTTACTTTATAATACTTTTGGAAACCTCTAATAATGTTGGTTTTTATCAATTAAGTTTTTGATTCAAAAATTTGTTGCACCATCACTGTCTGAAGAATAGCTGAAGAATGATCTCAAGAGAGTTGATAATTTTATTACGCAAGGCAAACATAAAAACGACAAGATAAAAAAGTATCCCGTCCGCGTCCGTCATCAATCTCCTCTAAATTCACTCTTTTCGTCTGTCTCATTATCTAATCTTTTATAATCATACAAGAAAACACTTATAAAAGCAGAGGAATCTGCAAATTCACCCCTTTTCCGTGATCCACGCAGCTCAGTTAAAAATATCACTTTCAGCTGACAAAAAAATAATGGCAACTCGTTGGGGAATCGTTTCCGCCGGTCGAATCTGCAATGACTTTGTGACCTCCCTGTCGGTGCTGTCGCAGGACGAGCACCAGGTCAAGGCGATTGCTGCCAGGGACGTGGCCAGGGCGCAAGAGTTTGCCAAGTTGCATAACATCCCCAAGGCCTACGGCAGCTATGAAGAGCTTGCAAACGATAAAGATTTAGGTATAACATTTAAAAAATAAAAAATTTTAGGTTGGAGTTTTTCTTTTCTTAATTTCTACATTTCATATAATATTTTTCTTATTTCTGAATATAATTGAATATTAAAAATTCAAGTAAAGTTATTTAGTTTTTTTAAATAATCTGTTTTATTACAAAACTTCCATCTTATTATTATTATTTTTTTTTATTAATAAACTAATTTTTCGTTGTAAATTCAGATAACCTCTCAACAGATATTTATTAACTATTTTTCATTAAAAAATTTAGAGATAATCTTATTTTTCTGTCTCACTCGCTTTGGCGTCTACAATTTAAAATTTAAATTATGAATTTCAGACGTCATTTATATTGGAAACGTCAACTGTGATCACTTTTCGGTGGGCATGCTGATGATCAACAACAATAAGCATGTTTTGATTGAAAAGCCACTGACCGTCAATAAACGCCAGTCCACCGAACTAATCAACGCTGCGAAAGCCAAGAAGGTCTTCCTGATGGAGGTGAAATTTATAAATAAAATTTTTAGTTTCATTCCAAATTCAAAATCATGCAGGCCGTCTGGTCTCGTTTCACCCCTGCCTACAACAAAATCAGGGAGGACATTGCGAATAACGTCATTGGAGAGCCGATCAACCTCAACGTCACCTTTGGAGTTCCCATCATGGGCAAGGAACGCCTAAAGTAAATAATAAATTTGTTTTTAAATCATTAAAAATAATAAAATAAACCAACCCAAATCTCCCAGATTGGTTCCCAAGAGTTTCAAAATTTATTTAAATGGCAGAAAAATTCAAATGTTAACTTTTTGTATAATTTTTTTAACCTCCAAAGGTTGCGTGACCTTGGCGGTGGTTGCATCCTGGACATTGGCATCTACTGCCTCCAGTTGTGCACCATGATCTACGGAGTCGGCGCCCCCATCAAAGTTGCTGCGACCGGAACTGTGAGCGTCAACGAGGGTGTGGACGAGAGCTGCGGCGTCGTTTTGCTCTACGAGGGAGGAAAAATGGCCACCCTCACCATCAATGGAAAAGTTTTGCTGCAGAACGATGCCTACATCACTGGAGAAAAGGGCACCATCAAGGTAAATTAAATCTCAATTTTATAAAAAAAAGTTTTTTGAATAAAATAACCAAAGGTGTGCAACCCTTTCTGGACTCCGACCAGAGTGGAGTCACCGTCGGGAGTGCTCGAGGTTGAGCTGCCCAACGCAGCCAACAAGTTCAACTTCACCAACAGTGTGCAGCTGCGCCACCAGGCCCAAGAAGTGAGGCGCTGCATTTTGGCTGGTGAGATAATTATAAAATATTCTTTTTTTTATCGACAGACTTTGCCACATAATTTTTCCAATCTAGGAAACATAAATGGTAACGGTAGCAAAATTAACAGTGGATCAGTTCAATTGCTCTAATTGAATTCTTTTCAATACATCACAAGGTGTTTGACAGGAAATTGAGATAAATGCGCCATGTGTGTTTTACTCATCTTATGTTTACACAAAAGATGAGACGGTTAAGTAAACCCAGCATCTATCTAACTAAGTTTCCTTCCTGTGATATAATATTGCCGATCAATATCAATTAGACTAATTGAATTTTGTTATTTTTTTTTTGTATGTACTATTAAATTTATAAATAAATATTTTAATATTAAAAAAATTAACAATAATTTTAGAGTCTATAGCTTTATGAAGAATTATTTCATAATAAAAAAATATAAAAAAATAAGCTATAAAAAGTAAAACACTAAAAAAATACACTCGCTGGTACTTTTGGCCTTTTTTGTAAAATTTTTATCAAAATAAATAATAACACTTTTACGTTACTAAATACATAAAAATTTAACTAATTTTTTCCTATAGGGGAGCTCGAGAGCAAAACAATGAGTCACGAGGACTCACTGGCCATAGCTTCCCTCGAGGACCAGCTGCGCCGTATTTTGGGCGTCCAGTACGCTGCCGATTCTTAGATGAGCCACAAGATCAACATTTTCAAACAGTTCCAATTCACGCAACTAGTACAAAAAGTGATTTCAAAGCTGCCATTCATGATTGAATCATGAATTGTTATTTTTTTGATGTTATCTAATAGCATCTCTGTTTTAACACAAATATATTATATATGAATAAAACTCAGTTGATTTCCGTCTTAAAATTATTAAATTTGATTTATTGTGTGTACATTTGGTGGGATAATTATTTATTTCAAGTTTTCTATCGGAAACAGTGGGGCAGGAAGGGAGCCGAGATCAGTTGACGGGGCCGAGTTTGGTTCAGTGCTGGCTCGGTTGTCTTCCAAAATGACAACTCTCCGCGCCAAATCCTCTGTTTGGACAAATAAGTATCGGTAGTCAAAGTGGCCCGTTTGCTTGTTCTGAAAATTTAAAATAAGAATTTAGACAAACAAAAGTTAATATTTCAGTTTTAAAAACGTACTTCGACCATTTCTAAATTGACTGTGGCTTGATTTCTTGAACCTTTAAGGTAGAATTTCATCCTGAGATAATTTACACCATCCTTCTCGTACAACAAGTGGCTGAAATTTTATTTGATATTTTAATTAATAATTCAAGGGTTGAAATAAATAAAATACCTAACATGCGTTCTTCGACCTCTTCTCGTCTCCTCTCCGAAGCCTTTGATCGGCTCTCCTAGAAGGTCGGCCACCTTTGGGTTTTTGATGCACCTCTCCAGGGCGGCGGTGTAAACGCTGTTTGGACTGTCGCTGGAGAAAAGTTCTCGGAAGACGTAGTACAAAATAATCGCCGTCACTCCCAGCCCTCCAAGGACGATGCCCGAGTAGCCCACGGTTTTTGTCGTTTCCTTGACTGCAATTGAAGAGATTTCATTTTTAAATAATAATTAAAATTTATAATATTCCAACCTTTCTCTTTGACCGACATGGAAGGGACATTGTCGCCGCTGTCCAAATGCTCGGACAGCGCTTTCTGTTTTTGCAAAAGGGCGCCGGTGTTACAGCAAGAGGTGTGAATGTTGTTGCTTTTTTTGAAGAGCAGGACTTTGCTTGAATTTGGCAGACAGGAGTATCGGACGAGGTGTGTGAGGACGAACGAATCGTTCCGCAGGGTAAGTCCGAGGCGTCCGAACCGGGCGCAGTTGATTATTCCGGACATTTTTATTGCTTGTTTAAAGTAAAAACAATATAATAAATTTTAAGTTATGCAAAATCATCAAAGAATATTAGTACATACCCTTGTGCAAAAATAGGAAGACAAGCCAAAATTCAATCCGTTGACAGCTGTAGTTTGTTTTGATTTCCAATAATTATTATCTTCTATCTTTTGGAATAAAGTTTTTCTTGTCACAGATGAGGCGCATGAGAGCTTTTGAGCAGCTGAGCGGCGCCCACTGTGGTCCTCTTTTTTAGTTAAAGTATGTGCCAGAAGATGGCTTAATTTGATGTTATTTTTTCATAAAATTTTTTTATATTAAAACATAATAAGTGTTTTAAATTTTATCATCAAATTTTTAAAACATTTTTTTAAAATTATAAAATTCTCTATGAAATTAATAATTAACAACAATTATAAAAAAAATGATCCAATAATATTCATTATACTTAATTTATTTCAGTAGTTTTTATATAATTTAGATATTTTAGTGGATTTTTTATAATAATATAATTTAGTCAAACATCAAATAATGAATATAAAATTAAATTAATTTATAGGCATGTAGCCCATGTAGGTGGTCAAATAGTCAGTTTATAATGGTACCGCCGCTATTTCAAAACGGTTTCAAACAGTTGGATTTTATTTGTGTTTATATAAAAATGAGGTTTTAATAAACACACTCATTTCATTTTAATATACACAAAAATAAAATCCAACTGTTAAGGAGGAAATAATAAACTTTTGATTTATTTTTCTCGGTTCATTTTTATTGATTTTTAAATATTCTCTAATTTTACATTCACATAAATATATATCATTCCTCAGGTGTATGTGTACTGTTGCGTAACTTTTTTTAGGTTAATAATTTACTTTCAAAGGCGTAAGTAATACTTCATTTAATTAATACAAGAAAATACCGGTGCATCAATATTATGGAACAATGAAAAATTCAATGTCTATTTTTTTTGGTTTCTTGGTATAATACACTGACGGGGAACTAATCAACTGCTCCGTGATACAGTGCGTTTGTAAATAGTAGCTCAATCAATTAATTAGCAGTAAAAATGCAGAGACGAATTATATTTTAAAACTTTATAATATATATAATTAATTATGCGTCTATTTTGAATGAATTATTTATGCAATGGCAAAAGGAGGCAGTGAGTTGACTAAAGGGTCTGAAATGTACAACTACAAATAGCATGGTGGTTCTTGTTGAATACAATAATTACTGCTTAATTAAAACTCGGCAAAAATCATCAAATGTCCTTGCACAAAAAAGAAAACTAATGAGATCACAACTAAACCCTCGAACAGTGTGCGCGTCCTGTGCACGGTATTATAATAGCTCTCGAGTTTCTGCTTAGGCTCTTATTGCACATTATACAAACAGGCATTCTCAATACACAGTTATTTTCTTACACGTGGGAAAAGTATATTTTCTATCAATTTTATATCATAAACGGGTGGAAGGAGTATCACTATTAATAATTAGGAAATAATTAAAATAATAATAATAATCACTCTTGAATAATTCTTTTAAAATTTTCTCAAACTCAAAAATTAGAACAATAGAATTTCAGAGAAAACATAATTGACGTCACATTTGTAAAAAGGAATACAAGGTTAATCTCCACAAGACAATTAATATCACACGGGCACGTACGCAACGCATTCTTAGGCTCCCAATTTTTTCCTAAGCTAGGCCTTAAAATTTAATTTCCTTTGTTTATTGCAAGACAAATTTTACATCTGTTTGTCTAGGTAATATTATTCTCCGTACAGTGGTGCCGACCAAACCAAGAAAAACGGGAAATTATAATCGATCCAGAGACGAAATGCGCAATTTTCTTTCTTCTAACACCTCAATTATTTACAATCTGCAAGTCTTAACGAATACTTATAGTTTGGCAATGACGTGATGGCGCTGGAACGTGTCTGATGGCTGGTGAGTGAATAAGAGGCACAGTAATTCAATACTTTGGTTCAACACGCATAGTAATAATTTGGGCACTCCTTTTGGGACAACTGATTTTTTTGCAGATTGGCAAAGATAAATTCATTCTTTCATTTTGAAGCAATGTTAAATTTATCCATCAGACATGAATAAAATAAATAAATTGCTCTTTTGTCAAGAGAAAAAAAAATCAAGTAAAATATCCAAAATAAACACTGTTAAAATCGTTTTTGCACAATAATAAACCTATCGTTCAAACAAGTCAATCAAATAATGCTCAAAATGAAAGAATCTTTATAGTTTGGGCCCTGATTCAAATAATGACCATTTACTTCTATCAAAATTATTAGCAAATTTCGAAGTCCCAAAAGAAATTGAATTTCTAAGTTCCGAAACAACAAGAGGTATAATTTTTTTTTGACGACACCCAGAGATAAAAACGCGAAATTTTACACTTAATTAAAATTGATTTAAAGCGGTGTTTCTTTCTTCCAGGGGAAACCGTTGCTGCGCGTGGCCTGACACTTGGCCGTCACCTGTTTTTTGGCCGCCTCAAAGCCGTTTCTGAGGCCCACCTTGATTCCCCCCGCCACACTGTTGGTCTTCAGATTGGGATTGGTGACGATGCCGTTTCGTTTGACCTTGGCCGAGTTGTCCAGAGGTCGGTTGCCGAGGATGATCCTCATGTGCGAGTCTTGCGTGAAGGAAAGGGGCGCCAGGGACACGGGCATGGTGTCCGGAAAAGGCGAGTTGATGGCCGTCGAGTTGGCCAACGTAGGTCTCTCGTGGTTGTTTTTGCTGCCAGGCAGCGGCGGTGAATTATTTCTTAAACTAGAGTCGCTGAGCGGCGACTGCGGAGGCGACGCGTAAATCGGACTCTGCGGCTCGCTGAGGGGCGACAGCAACAAAACTTGACTGAGAGGCCGGTGCTTGGAGGCCCTTTGGAGTTGCTGAGTGAAGGAGAGGTCCGTCCGAGCCGGCGGTTGCTGCACCAGAGTGATTCCGTGGGCCGACTTGGTGGAGGAACCCGTGAAGTTGGAACTGCTCTTGCTTGAGGACTGGTTGCCCACCGAGATGTAGGACCTCCTCTTCAGGTCAGACGTGCTGTCCGGACTGACGTCCTGACCTCCAACCGGGGAGTGGGAGCGGTAAGAGGGAGGCATGAGAACGGCGGAGGATGGTTTTGTCTCCACTGTTGACGCCATCGAAGTGTTACTACTTCCACCTGTAAAGAAATTTAATTAATTAACTGATTATAAAACAAAGTTTTAACAGTTTCCAGTTAAAAAAATATTAAAAGGATTGTTATATCTACCGTTTTTAAAATGAAATAATTATAAAAATTTAAACTACTGTATTTAAACTTTTTTCATCAAAATAAAGTAGTTAACTGATTAGATTCTGGAGTTGTTTGATATCTTTGAAAAACTGACCATGTTTGGATCTGTGGTGCATGGCTCCAGTGGCGGCAGCCTCTTCGAGAAGTCTGACAATCTCCTCATGACCAGATTTGGCCGCAACCCGCAGAGCAGTGCGCCCACATCGGTCCGAGTGATGGGGATCCGCTCCACCTTGCAGAAGCGCCTTGACGCAGGCCACGTGACCCTCTTGAGCAGCAATGCAAAGGGCGGTGGCCCCTTGACTGCAAGTGTGGTCAACTTTGGCGCTGCGGCTCATCAGCAGCCTTACAATCGCAGAGTGGCCCTGAAAAAAATATTTACCAATTAAATCACATCACTTTTTCTTCATTTGAAAAAAAATAGTATCACACTTAAAAAAGATAAATTTTAAATTTAAGGAAATGATTCTATTGAGTAAGATTTTATTATATAATATTTACTTTCAAACATTTGTTATTGACGCTTATTGATATTTAATTAAGCTCATACACACCTGCCAACTTGCTGACTGCAATGCTGTCCTCTTCTCCCTGTCAGTGGCATTGACGTCGGCGCCAGCATCGAGCAAAAGAGCAGCCATGTCTGTGTGTCCTTGCCAGGCAGACACATGGAGAGGAGTTCTGCCTTCACTGTCAGCACCTTCCAGATCGAGCAGAAGTGGCATCGAGGTAGGGGTGAGGATTCCTCCCCTCGGAGGAGGCGCTGGAGGTCCGAACGAAGCCGACTCGGCAATCAGACAACGCGCCATAGACACTCGGTTTTCCAGCGCCAAAACATACAAGGTTGACCTGCCGTCTGCGTCCTTGGTGCTAGGGTCAGCCCCGGCCTTGACAAGCGACCTGACCACCTCTCGGTGACCTTCAACGGCAGCCAGACGCAGAGCCGTCTTGCCACAGTGCGCCCGATGGTTGGCGTTTGCTCCTCGTTGCAAAACTAAATTCACAACGCTGATGTGTCCCTCCTGGAAGACAAAATCAAAGAGATGATAAAAATTCCCCTTCACAGTAGTGGGTCTAAAATTTTTCCTATTTAAAATTATCCTCAAATTTTGTTTTCAAATTTAACTGTTTTTAAGCGCTTTCAATTTGTAATATAATAAATTTATCAAAGTAGAAAAACCTCTTATTTTTTTTTTCACCTACCGTCACCTTTTGAAGAGCAAGTGTTTTAAGATTTGTAAAAGCAACTGAATTTAGGTCAACTAATTGTAAGGGTCTTGCAATAAAAAATAGATCAAAGAAAAATTTGTAAATATTTACTTGAGATGAAAGCATAAGTGGTGTTTTGCCGTCATTGTCCGTCTCGTCGAGTTTAGTGCCGGCGTCAAGTAACACTTCGCAAACACTGATGTGTCCCTCGAAGGCTGCATAGTGGAGGGGCGTCCACCCTGCATTATCTCTGTGCATTTCGTCCAAACCACGATCAAGCAAAAGTCTGACGACCTTTGGACTTCCCTGAATGAGATTATTTATTTTTATTACTTTGCTCATAAAAATAAATTATTGATTTCTCACCTGTGCAGAGGCAACACTTAAAACAGTCCTGCCCTCATTGTCAATGCTGTCCACGCTGCAGCCCCAGAAGAGCAAGAGGGCAACCACTCCACAGTGGCCCATGGACGCAGCAGCCCACAGAGGCGTCCTCCCACCTTTGTCCGAGTGTTCAGGGTCTGCTTCATATTCCAAAAGAAGTTCACACACTTCCCTAAAAAAATGAGGATGGTTTTTTATTCAATTCAATCTTTATTGAAATTTTGTATTTATGCAGATATAATTTTTGAACATAAAAGAAATATTTTCAAGACAATATTGACATATTCCCCAAATTCCCCTAATTTCCCTAATTTCCTTTTAGAAAAACATGCAATTTAAATATTAATATTGCTTCTTTTTTTTAAACTTCAGATGAGGATAATAGTTTTTCACAATATTTTGTTATTCTTTGTAAATTTAGATGTCTTAATTGATAATTTTAGGTGTATTGAAAATTTTCTAATCCAGAGAACAGTCAAATTGAGAAAAAAAACTTTTTCACTCACTTGTGACCTTCAAAAGCTGCAACCAATAAGGGTGTCATTCCATCTCTATCTTCGTGGTCTACAGAAGCGCCTTTCTCAAGCAATATATTGGCAACCTACAAATTAATTGGTAAATTCAAAAAGATATTTAGTTTTTAGTTTTTTTCACTCACTTTGGTGTATCCTTCACTTGCCGGAACACAGAGAGCTGCAACAGAGAGGGCAGTTCGTCCGTCTGAGTCTTCGTGGTCGGGGTCAGCTCCGAATTCCAGGAGGTGCTCGACAATTTCAGCATGACTCATATAGGCAGCGGCAATTAAGGGCGTTCTGCCCTCAGCATCACAGCCATCAACTTTGGCGCCGGCTCTCAAGAGTTGCAACACAATTTCCTCATGGCCACCTACAAAGTACAAATGTTAATCTACCTATTTTAAAATAACTTTTATTTTAATTTACCCCAAGCTGCCGCTCTTAGTGCCGTCCTACCCTCTGCGTCTGCCCTTTCAACGTCAGCGCCCCTTTTCAGCAGAATTTCCACTGTCGTAACGTGACCGCCCCAAGCAGCAGATCTGTTAAATTTATTTTGTATATTATATTAATAAACTTTTGATTGTGTATATTAGTGTGCATTTTATTGAGTACCCTTATTTTTACATTCAATTAAGTTATTTTTAACAAAACAAACACAAGTCATAACCATAGTACACAAATTTTTAAATTACCTGAGGGCCGTCCAGCCGTCAACATCAGCATGGTCAGGTTCAGCTCCCGCCTCAAGGAGCAAAGTGACTATTTCTGCGTGCCCGTGTCGAGCGGCTAAGTTCAGAGCAGTTTGGCCAGTTCTGTTGCTTTAATTGGATCAAATGAGATTTACGATTGCATGGAATTATTTGGAAAGTACCTGTCCGGCGCCTCCAGGTCAATACCTCCCCTAGCTAGCAGGAGAGCCACAAGTCTAGAGTTGCCCTCGGCGCAGAGAGCGTGCAATAAGGAACCTCCGGAGTTGGACCCACTCAGAGTCAAGCTTTCTCCACCACCTTCGCAGTCTTGTCCAAGTCCTGAGGCCGTCGCCCTCAGCAGGTCTGCCAGCGGGTCTAGATCGCTACCCTCAGGGCTGCACTCGTCAGATGGAATCTAGAAAATTTAAAATATAAATGAAATCATCAAAAATTCAACAATAAAGAGGGTTTAAGGAGATTTGATCATTAGATTTCTACGTAGCAAAATTTTTAGAACGCCTTGAAAAAGTGAATTTTTAGAAAATTACATAACTTTTTTTTAAATTTACCTGTTTAATTTTTTCAAATTTTAGATGATAAAAGGGCCGTTTATTTAACATTTTCTTAATGAAGTTTTTAAGAATTTAATTTAATTTTAAGTACCTGAACAATGTCATCAATTTCGTTGACCCGTGGTTTGGCGCCCGCCTCAAGCAACAGCCGAAGGGCGCGCTGGTCCTTCGGAGAAGATTCGGTACTGCGCAGACAGTCCTCCACAGGTACGTCAGTCATGACCAGCCACAAGGCGAGTGTGTGCCGGTCGACGGTGGTGTGCTCGGGTCTGTTAGAGTCCTGGATGCCCTCAAGCCGGACGAGGTGCGACGCCAGGGTCTGCACCTCCTCGGCCGTGGTGTCCGAGCCTCGGTTGGAAAGACTCTTGGCGATCAGCGCGTGTCCCTCAACCGTCTTGCACAGGTACTTCTGGGTGCAGTGCTTCACGTCGACCAGCCACTCGGCAAAGCTGTGGTGGAACAACAGATACCGGCCGTTTCGCTCCACCAACACTCTCTTCAGCACGTTCAGTCTTTTGCTAAATTCCTCTCGGGATATTGAATCCTGCAAAATAATAATAATTGGTATTTCATTGCAACTTGAAAAAAAATCAATAATAAAAAATACAATCAAAATAGAAAAATCAGTTGAAATTTTTTTAACTTTAAGAAATTCTAAGGGAAAATTTAAAAGATACGATTAATTATATAAATATTTATTACAATAAAAAAAATCTATTACATACAAGAACATGAAGAACAGTATAATATTAAATTTGCAAGTGAGTAATTTATTTTCTTGAATAAAATGCGGGTTAAAAATGTTTATGAACCGCGTTGTGACAAACGCATAATTGTACGAAAACCAAAAACAACAATAAAAGATATCTAATTATTTGAAAAAGAAAAATAGAAATAAAATAAAAATAGCTAAAAAAAAATTATAAAAGAGTCAGAAAAATGTCATGAATTATTACAATAAGAAAAAAATAGTTTCTTGAATATTTAATTTGTTTTAAATCAATGAATCAAATATTTATTAAACACATTTTTTTATAATGAAATTCAAAAAAATTTTGGAACTTTTAATTTTTAAATAACTTATAGAGTTGGAATCTAAGTTGTTTAAAAAATTTGAATTTAATAATTATTTAGTTTAATTTACTTGGTAAGCTTTGACGCATCCAAGGAGTTCGGACTCATTCAGGGGCGACCTGGCGGCGAGAATGGCGTTGATTAGGGGTTGAACGCGGCTAAATTGCTTCCTGGTGAAGATCCTTTGGCACAGCCAGAGGTAGAGGCCGTTCAGGGTGCCCGGGATCTCCCTGATCTCCCTGAGCACGATCGAGTTGGCGGCGACGGCGTCCAGGATCCGCTCGGCGTACAGCAGGCAGCCGTGGCTCTTGATGTGCAGCTGGTTGAGCAGTTCGGCCGTGTCGTCGCGGCCCATGTGCGCCCTGAGCGCCGACTCCGAGTCGAGACGCGCCAGAATGTACTGCTGCACGTCTTTGACCACGTTCGCCTTGCGCACCTCGTCCAGGGACAGTTTCCGGAAGCCGGCGAACATCCGCGCCATGCCCCTGTGCGAACAACGCCAAAATTAGCCGATTGTTTATAATATCTTGTCTGAGCAGACGCAGCAGGATGGAGGTGCAAAATTGGCAGGGCAGGAAGTGTGCCAGCGAAATTAATTCAAAACGGAGATGCTCTGTTTATTTTGTTAGACATTAATTACCTACGGAAAGTGAGATTCTGAAGTGTTTGCAAATTATTTTCTTTTACAAAGATTTTGATAAATAACCATAAATTAAAAAAAAAAAATACTTGAAATTTCAGTTGATTTTATGTATTAAAATATGTTTCATATTATTTATCACTTTTTATACTAGGAAAATTAATATTTTTATTACATTTTTGATCACTTCAACAATTCCTACATGAATTTTTTTTTTAATTTGGAAAGTTAGATTATGAACACCCCCTATAAATTTAGCGAAAAATATTCAACCAAAAATGCATTCGACAAAAAAAGTCCAGACAAATTTTTTTTGTATAAAAAATAATAATTTCATACCTGTTGTATCTCCTGGCAGTGCAGATGAGCAGAATCCACTGGGGCAGCAGTTGGTGGTGGTTGGCGAGCAGTTCGCCGACCGTCTTGCTGCGTCCGGCCACCATGGAAAAGGAGCCGGCGCTGCCGCAAGAGCCGCCGCGCTCCAACTTCTCGCCGGGCCCGGAAACATTGGTCTCGTCGATCGAGTCGACCAGGATGAAGCAGCACTGCTTGGGAGGGTCCAGTTCCAGCAGGGGAAACAGCACCGCCTTCTTGAACGCCTCGTCAGGGTCACGCTCGCACACTTCGGGTCGAAGGGCGTTCGCGATGTCAGGGTCGCGCAGCTTCTCCTCAAAGTGCGGCGAAAGCAACTCGGACACTTTGAGCTGCTGCACGAGGTGCCGCACGAAGTCGGCCGGCGACAGCGATGACACGTCGTGCGCCTAAAAATTTCAAATTTGAAATTTATTTCCATAAATTAGTTTTTAATCTAATTTATTTTAACGAAAACCAAGCCCATAAGTTCAGTGTAAATTTTTACGGACAATAATTTTATTTTGCAAATTTATTTGGAGTGATTCAGTTGATTTACAATTTAATTTTTTTCAATTTTAACAGATTTTTAAACAAAAACATATTTTAGAAAACTGTCATAAGAGGTTAAATTTCTCGACATTTCAACTATCAAACTCAATCAAAGCTACCCTAATTGTCCTAATAATGATTTCAGATTGAGAATTAAATCGCCAATAATATCCCGTTTTTAGGTATTGAGACTTGTATCACTTGTCAAATTTTTTTTGTGCAGTTGCTGAAATTGGAAAGATGTTTAGATGAATTAAAATTACACAATGGTTTACTATCAGCCAAAGTTCGAAAATTTCTTAAGCGTTTGATGGAAACTTAAAAATAAAATGATTATATAAACAGCATTATTATTATTATTATTTTTTTTTTTTGCTAATAAGTAGAAAATATTCTTATTTGTAGAGAATTTTCAGCTCAATTATGTAATGAAATTATTTTTATAACGTCTTGTATCACGCTTTTACTATATACATTTTTAAACACTGAATATTTCTGGACAATTTTTTGAAAATAACATCTCATTTTCAACATCTCTATCTTTCACAGATGCTTTATCAAAAAATTGCCTGTATTTATTAAACATAATTACATTATTTGAATGATATCCTCTCATCTTCTCCAGATCAACCTTACAGACAGGGCATTTCAGAGAATATAGCAATAAATTCAACAGGCAAAATATCAAATTTAAAACACTCGCAAACATTACATTAAGGAACTCTGTTCAGTGAGTTAAAAAAATCTGCAATTTTCTTTAAGGACCGTTCAAAACGGCTAAAAAAAAAAAATTAAAATACTTGAAATACTTGAAATATATTCTGAAAAATTATATTAGAGTATTTTTTGAATGAAAAAAAAAAACAAGTTAAGAAATAACATATTTTTCAATTGTAAATATTTAGTAAAATATGAAATTTATAATATTGAATTTATGGATGCATGATGTATTTGGGCAGAGAATGCCCGGTGATACATTAATAAACACGATTTGTAACTAAAATAATTGAACTTGGTAAATTATTATTTTATGAATTTTAATATAATTAATGATTATAAAAAATATTACTAAATTATATATTATGCAATAAAATTTTAATTAGTATAAATCTTTGAGACTGACCTGGCAGAAGTGGTAGGCGAGGAGTCTGCGGTGGAGCGACCTTTGCCGATAGCCACCCTGTCCGGTGTGGACCGAGGGCCAGACGAGTTCGCTGCAGAGGGCCGTTTTTCCGCAGCCGGCGCCGCCCAGAATGAGGGCGCCGCCGGCCTTGGACGCGTGGCGCTGCTCGAGGCAGTGCGACAACTTCATGAAGGCCCATTCTCGGCAGTAGAAGCGTTTGCCGTGCAGAAGCGACTCGGCCATCCTCTGTCCGGTGCTAGTCGTCAGCGGAGCCGCCGAGGCCCTGCTTGCACTCGACAATCATTTCTGCAACAAAAACAAACACCAACCAGCGTCAAAAAGAGAAGTGGGCCGACACAGCAGGCAGAACAATGCCAAAACAAAAGGAAAAACTTTTAAAAAGAAGAAGAAGGACCGGTTGATATCTGATGTCATTTCGCGCCTCGCTTCCGAGAACGCGGCCAGATTAAACGGGGTCCCACGTTTTGTGTGAAAAAATTATATCAAAACAGTTATCAGTGTTGAAAACACTAAATGTGTCAAAAAATTATCACAACAAAAGTGTGATTTTTCTATCACTCGCTGTCTGTATACATTCTGGATGTTGAACGCAAAATTTCTAGTCATTTCATTTCTTTTCTTCTTCTTTATTTATATTTGCTCTATTTCTTAAATCTTAATTATAATTTTAAAATAAATGCAGATTCTGCAAAGTTTATACCTAATATCATTTTAGTTTTCAAGTTTAATTTTCACTTTGTTAATATTTGTCACCTTGTTGTGAGAGGATAAAAGAATTGAAAAGTTTTCTGGCAAAATGCGGCGACCCATTTATAACGCAGAGACGAGTTTTTATTTGTTATTAAAGCTTTCCAGAGATAAGCTTCTCTCCTTGTTCTTCTTTTTTGTCATTCGTTATTGTTTCTATCTGATGAAGAGAACGGCTTGACTAATAAATTGAAACGCGATAGTTTCGCCCATTGTCTTTGTTTTTATCGCGATAAATTAGAGCTGAACGGCCTCAATTGCGTTCCACAAAGATTTATATAATTGCTCGTTCGGCCACTAACTGAACCCGATTTCTAACTTATTGTCGCAATTAAACGTCGTATTTCCTTCCTTTTTACTTTTGTTTCTTGAAAAAAATATTTTATCAAGCTGTCGTGGGATTTTCGCCTCCGTGGCGGGAAATGACTAATGCTGTTTTTTTCCTCGGTACTGTTTTTGTACTATACGTTATGCTTGCCGTGCTGGCAGTATAAAATTACAAAAATTAACCTGATACATTTCACCTAGCTAAAAAAAATAAACAGGAGCTTCGGACAATCCCCCTGCATGAAAGCTCGTATGACGCTCACTCGTGCAGCGTGGCCAATGACTTTTTACCGCTGATGTTGGCAAAATAAATATTGCATTTTTTTTTAAATAATTTCTGGAACGAAATTCAAACCTGTGCGATTCCCAAAATTTTTTGAGTTGAAAAATGGGCAGATGTGGAAATAGGTGGCAGTAAAAAGATTGACCTGTTTTTGTCGCTCCTTATTCTTGATTTAAAAAAATCGTCTTCGTTACTCGATTGTAAGTTTAATAAAAGTGATTGATCACGGAAATGTGCAGAGAAAACAACAAATAATATTGGTGCCTTTTACGTTTCGAGTGCAATTCTATAGACTCTGGAATGCATTGCCTTCAAATCTGTGTTTAAATGAAATAATTTTAATCTTTTAAAGCAATAATGAAAAAGCAATTTTTTTTTGCAGTAATAGCATTTTATTCTTTCTTGTTTTTAAAATTTTGTTTGTTGTCATTTATTTGGATGAGTTTATTTGAATGAGGCAAAGTTGCCTTCATTTCGAACCCAATAAACATTTCTTGAAACTAAAAGATTTTACAGTGATCTGAAAATGTTATCTATATTATTTATCATTAAACTTTAAAATGTTTAAAATTAATTATTAAATAGCAACGTAAAGTTTTTTGGAGATATTAAAGCAAAATAAATAAAAGATAAAAGCCAAGTGGACAAAAAAATGGTAAGAAAAATCAAATAAGGACTCTCATTATTCAACACAACATGTTAAACTGACCAAAGGCGAAGAACATCAGCAATGAGGAAGCTGACCTCGATCGTGTGAAATTGAGCGGAACGGTTTTTCGGTGTAGCAAGGGTTGTTCGCGGTGAAAGAGCGACTGCGGATGGTGCTTTTGTTGGCGAGCCGTTTGTTTCCCTTTGCCTCTTTTATGTTCCGCCGAGGGTCAATGGCTTGTGCAAGCAAATCATTCGCCAATCAATCGCGGCCGCCGCGCGCAAACACCACCCAGCGACTAATTGCCCGTTCATCGCATCTGCACAAACACCAGCACCACTTTTATTGCAAAAAAAGCGTCTCACACATGTGCGCGTCTCTTTTTTTATTCCTGACGCTGCAGCTTTTGCTGCGAGGGTAGAGACAGACAGACTCTCTCCTGAGGGTGAAATCCAATCCGGCGGCTTTTTATTGATTGCGTATCATGTAGCATCGGCGGGGACAAAATTAAAGCTCGAGCAAATTATTTTTTCGGAGACGCCTTTTTGAGTTTGTTTAGTTTGTAACCAGACTCTACGGGAACCACCGATGCAATTTATTGGGCATTAATTTGTTTGCTCTGGGGCACGTGAGGGAATTTATTTATCGCCTCAACCCGTCAACTAACTTCTCAACTTTCGGCTCGGTTTATAAAATGGAGACAATATCGTCGTTATTGCGCCTTGTTTTTTCATCAGAAAAAGTTCCGATTCATGAATTGTTTAGTTTTTTATGATTTTCTCATTGAGTGTCTGTTTGAATAGTTCATGCTGAAGTTAATTGAAAACTGATTGTAAATTTTAAAAACAAAAAAATATTGATTTCTGTGGAGTAGTTGCAAAGGGCTTTAATTTTTTAAACAAATCTTCTCAGTTAAATTTCATTCAAACTTAACAAAATTCACTTCAAAAAAACGTTTATTTTTTTAGTTAGAACCTAGAACTCCTAAAAGAAGTTAGATAATAGGTAATAGAGATGTACATAATAAACTATAATTCAAAATTTAACTTTATTTGAAATTAATGGCATAATAAAATAAATTTTCGTAATTATAAATGCATGTGTTAGTTCTAAACCTAATTCTCATTTTAACATAAAAATAATGTTCTGTCGGTGCCCGACTTTATGTAAAAAAAAAAAATTAAAAAATCCTTCTCTGCAAAAATTGACAACTCACGTCCTAGTGATTTCTGCGCTCCTGATACCGTTCCGAGCTTAAGAAGCAGCTTGCCCCTTTTCTTGCTCTTTTCAGCTGCTTGCTTGAGAGCTTCGCAAGATCAAGCCAAGAATTACAAACACTAGGGTCTTTTTTTTTTGTTGGTGAAAAGTAAGTTTCTGAAATTATTATCAAATCGTTCATTAATTCCTTCAGTTCAGTTTTATATTAAAACAGAACCAGCAAAGCTCATCAAAATAAACAGTTTTCGACAGTTTTAATAAACACAATTAGTTAAAATATCCTCGCGAAATTTTCAACGACTTGATTTACTTAATCATTATTCGTTTATTTTTACTTCCAATTTAGATTAAAATTAAGAGTTTGAATATATTTATTTTCGAAAATCTTTGATAAATGTTGTGTAAAATATTTTTTGTCTTTGTCTGCTCATCTGAATACTCGGTTGTGAAGTGAGCGAGATTTCCAAGCAAGAACGAGCAGACAGCGAGCAAGCAAGCCAAGCTAGATTGAAGCAAGAAAAGGGGCAGTAAGAGCTTCTCTTGCTCTGACTGGTGCCAGGAGCGCAGGAAACAGCAAGAGGTGTGCCATTAGTTTTTCGCCTACATGCGCAGAAGTTTGCATTTTTCAGGATTTTACTGAAAATTCTAAGGAATTTTAAGTTTTAATTAAATAAAAAAAATATTTATTTTTTATTAAAATGTTTTGGTTGAAAAAAATGCTTGCAAAATAATAAATGAATGCCAGTTTGAATTATTATGAAAATTGTCAAACAAACGGATCTATGTACGGCTAAAATTTGAAATTAATACTTCTGAAACAATCTGAAAATTGCAAAATATTTATTTCATCTCTTGAAAAATTAAAGTTCAAAGGAAATTTCAAAATTAATAACCACCTAACTTTGACAATGAAACTACACTATTTTTATTTAAATTAATTGAAGTTTAAAGCTTTATTATTCAAATGAGAGGTGAAGGCGACCAATAACCCGCCGAGTTAGTTCACCCTCTTCTGCAAAGCAAGACGGCGTCGAGATAATTGCGGAAGGTGTGCATCTCACTTGGCGCACTCTGATTGCAGACTGGCGTAATAACGAGCCGTTTTCCAACAGAGCCTGATTACCCGACCGAGATGCATGCAGATGCTCAAAGCCGTACTGTCGCGGAAAATTACCGCAATAACTGGCTCGGAAGAATGCAATGAGGGGTGATAAGAGGAGGTCGCGGCGCCACCGAGGCCGCGCGCAAAGTGCCGTCGAGAATCACACGCCCGATTGCTCTTTAATCAAAAGCGCCAGATTTCCTTTCAGGAATAAAAAAAATCTGAATCGTTTGGCTCAAAAATAAATAAATAATGTATAAAAGTTCAAAGCTGCAAGTCTAATTGCATAAATATATACTGGAAAAAAAGAGGAGAGTACACAAACAAAATATGCTTTAACAACCTGCTGACTTTGCAGCAACAGCAACTTTAGCACTTGTTTATCCGTTGCTATAATTATCAAAACTCTTTGCCCTAATAAAAATTTCCTTTTGCAAAAAATTGACGAATTGAAATTATATTTTCTTGATAAAGGATACAATCAAAGAGTACTTAATTTACAAAAAATGTTGGGGAATTTTTACACTATTATAATACAAAAAAAAACAATGTAGTCTCTTTAATTTCTGATGAAATTTTTTCCTCTTTCAATTTTGTAAAAGCATAATTTTTATACCAAGCCTGGTGGCCCAGTGGTTAGAATGCTTGCATTCTAATCAGTGTGTTCCTTGGCCGTCATGGGATCAATGCTCAGCCTGAGGCTCTTTGTGGAAACAAATAGTCTCTGGTATGCGAATCATTGATAACATTTCGGCCGACACGTCGGGAATTTGGGAGGTATGGCTGTACCGACTCGCACTCGGAGGTTTGCCACGTTTCCTCCGAGCCACAAGCTGGAAGAACTCAGCTTGTGTGGCGAATGCCTGCGTTTCATTTCAAGTCCTTCGTGGCAAGGCCAGGGCAAGGGGCAAGGTCTCAAGGGGGGTGGGGGGCCCATGCGAGCACCACCAAATCTGCTA